CTCTGAATCATTCAGATGTTCATTGGCAAACTTCAGACGGGCCTGTAAATGTGCTTTCTTGAGCAGGGGGACCTTGCGGGCTCTGCAGGATTTCAGTCCTTCACGGCGTAGTGTGTTACCAATTGTTTTCTTGGTGACTATGGTCCCAGCTGCCTTGAGATCATTGACAAGATCCTCCCGTGTAGTTCTGGGCTGATTCCTCACCGGTCTCATGATCATTGCAACTCCATGAGGTGAGATCTTGCATGGAGCCCCAGGCCGAGGGAGGTTGACAGTTATTTTGTGTTTCTTCCATTTGCGAATAATCGCACCAACTGTTGTCACCTTCTCACCAAGCTGCTTGGCGATGGTCTTGTAGCCCATTCCAGCCTTGTGTAGGTCTACAATCTTGTCCCTGACATCCTTGGAGAGCTCTTTGGTCTTGGCCATGGTGGAGAGTTTGGAATCTGATTGATTGATTGCTTCTGTGGACAGGTGTCTTTTATACAGGTAACAAACTGAGATTAGGAGCACTCCCTTTAAGAGTGTGCTCCTAATCTCAGTTCGTTACCTGTATAAAAGACACCTGGGAGCCAGAAATCTTTCTGATTGAGAGGGGGTTAAATACTTACAGTGGGGGGAAAAAAAGTATTTAGTCAGCCACCAATTGTGCAAGTTCTCCCACTTAAAAAGATGAGAGAGGCCTGTAATTTTCATCATAGGTACACGTCAACTATGACAGACAAAATGAGAAACTAAAATCTAAACTAAAAATGTCCTCCACTCGTTACCTGTATTAATGGCACCTGTTTGAACTTGTTATCAGTATAAAAGACACCTGTCCACAACCTCAAACAGTCACACTCCAAACTCCACTATGGCCAAGACCAAAGAGCTGTCAAAGGACACCAGAAACAAAATTGTAGACCTGCACCAGGCTGGGAAGACTGAATCTGCAATAGGTAAGCAGCTTGGTTTGAAGAAATCAACTGTGGGAGCAATTATTAGGAAATGGAAGACATACAAGACCACTGATAATCTCCCTCGATCTGGGGCTCCATGCAAGATCTCACCCCGTGGGGTCAAAATGATCACAAGAACGGTGAGCAAAAATCCCAGAACCACACGGGGGGACCTAGTGAATGACCTGCAGAGAGCTGGGACCAAAGTAACAAAGCCTACCATCAGTAACACACTACGCCACCAGGGACTCAAATCCTGCAGTGCCAGACGTGTCCCCCTGCTCAAGCCAGTACATGTCCAGGCCCGTCTGAAGTTTGCTAGAGTGCATTTGGATGATCCAGAAGAGGATTGGGAGAATGTCATATGGTCAGATGAAACCAAAATAGAACTTTTTGGTAAAAACTCAACTCGTCGTGTTTGGAGGACAAAGAATGCTGAGTTGCATCCAAAGAACACCATACCTACTGTGAAGCATGGGGGTGGAAACATCATGCTTTGGGGCTGTTTTTCTGCAAAGGGATCAGGACGACTGATCCGTGTAAAGGAAATAATGAATGGGGCCATGTATCGTGAGATTTTGAGTGAAAACCTCCTTCCATCAGCAAGGGCATTGAAGATGAAACGTGGCTGGGTCTTTCAGCATGACAATGATCCCAAACACACCGCCCGGGCAACGAAGGAGTGGCTTCGTAAGAAGCATTTCAAGGTCCTGGAGTGGCCTAGCCAGTCTCCAGATCTCAACCCCATAGAAAATCTTTGGAGGGAGTTGAAAGTCCGTGTTGCCCAGCGACAGCCCCAAAACATCACTGCTCTAGAGGAGATCTGCATGGAGGAATTGGCCAAAATACCAGCAACAGTGTGTGAAAACCTTGTGAAGACTTACAGAAAACGTTTGACCTGTGTCATTGCCAACAAAGGGTATATAACAAAGTATTGAGAAACTTTTGTTATTGACGAAATACTTATTTTCCACCATAATTAGCAAATAAATTCATTAAAAATCCTACAATGTGATTTTCTGGAAAAAATTTTCTCATTTTGTCTGTCATAGTTGACGTTTACCTATGATGAAAATTACAGGCCTCTCATCTTTTTAAGTGGGAGAACTTGCACAATTGGTGGCTGACTAAATACTTTTTCCCCCCACTGTATTTCCCTCATTAAAATGTAAATCAATTTATAAAATTTTTGACATGTGTTTTTCTGGATTCTTTTGTTGTTATTCTGTCTCGCACTGTTCAAATAAACCTACCATAAAAATTATAGACTGATCATTTCTTTGTCAGTGTGCAAACGTACAAAATCAGCAAGGGATCAAATACTTTTTTCCCTCACTAATATATATATATATATATATATATATATATATATATATATATATATACATACACACACACTACCTTTCAAAAGTTTGGGGTCACTTAGAAATGTCCTTGTTTTCGAAAGAAAAGCAATTTTTTATGTCCATTAAAATAAAATAAAATTGATCAGAAATACAGTGTAGACATTGTTCATGTTGTAAATGGCAGATTTTTTTTTTAATGGAATATCTACAAAGGCGTACAGAGGCCATCATTAACCATCAGTCCTATGTTCCAATGGCACTTTGTGTTTGCTAATTGATCATTAGAAAACCCTTTTGCAATTATGTTAGCACAGCTGAACTGTTGTGCTGATTAAAGAAGCAATAAAACATTCCTTCTTGAGACTAGTTGAGTATCTGGAGCATCAGCAATTGTGGGTTTGATTACAGGCTGAAAATGGTCAGAAACAAATAACTTTCTTCTGAAACACATCAGTCTATTCTTGTTCTGAGAAATGAAGGCTATTCCATGCGAGAAATTGCCAAGAAACTGAAGATCTCGTACAACGCTGTGTACTACTCCCTTCACAGAACAGCGCAAACTGTCTCTAACCAGAATAGAAAGAGGAGTGGGAGGCCCCGGTGCACAACTGAGCAAGAGGACATACATAAGTTCTAGTTTGAGGAACAGGCGCCTCACAGGTCCTCAACTGGCAGCTTCATTAAATAGTACCTGCAAAACACCAGTCTCAACGTCAACAGTGAAGAGGCGACTCCGGGATGCTGACCTTCTAGGCAGAGTTGCAAAGAAAAAGCCATATCTCAGACTGGCCAATAACAATAAAAGATTAAGATGGGCAAAATAACACAGACACTGGACAGAGGAAGATTGGAAAAAAGTGTAATGGACAGACGAATCAAAGTTTTAGGTGTTCGGATCACAAAGAATAACAATTGTGAGACGCAGACCAAATGAAAAGGTGCTTGATGCCATCTGTCAAGCATGGTGGAGGCAATGTGATGGTCTGGGGGTGCTTTGGTGGTGGTAAAGTGGGAGATTTGTACAGGGTAAAAGGGATTTTTAGAAGGAAGGCTATCACTCCATTTTGTAACGCCATGCCATACCCTGTGGACGGCGCTTGATTGGAGCCAATTTCCTCCTACAACAGGACAATGACCCAAAGCACAGCTCCAAACTATGCAATAACTATTTAGGGAAGAAGCAGTCAGCTGGTATTTTGTCTATAATGGAGTGGCCAGCACAGTCACCGGCTCTCAACCCTATTGAGCGTTGTGAGAGCACCTTGACCGTATGGTACGTAAGAAGTGCCCAAGCCAATCCAACTTGTGGGAGGTGCTTCAGGAAGCATGGGGTGAAATCTCTTCAGATTACCTCAACAAATTGACAACTAGAATGCCAAAGGTCTGCAAGGCTGTAATTGCTGCAAATGGAGGATTCTTTGACGAAAGCAATGTTTGAAGGACACAATTATTATTTCAATTTAAAACCATTATTTCTAACCTTGTCAATGACTACATTTCCTATTCATTTTGTTATATTTCCTATTCACTCAATTCATGTATGTTTTCATGGAAAACAAGGACATTTCTAAGTGACCCCAAACTTTTGAACGGTAGTGTATATTTTTGCAACTGCTCAACAAAAACATTATTGATCGATCAACAGCCTATCGAACAAACAATCGACCTGTCGACTAAATGGGGTCAGCCCTAAATTCTACACATTTTATGATAATATGTTAATATGATATCTGAGTGAGAATGACTAACAAAATCAATGGGGGCCCCCTGGAGGTCAGGGCCTCTGGGCGCGTGCCCGGTCAGTATTCGGCCATGATTACTACAAGTTTAGATAGCTGGCTAGACTAATTACCAATATATAAATTGTTAGCTGACATGGCTAATTGAGTGACTGTCAGTGACTGACATAACAGACAAACTGCTCATACTCAACCAAATTTAGAAATTGCACGTGGTGTATTCTACTGTTCTTACTCTCAATAGTAAGTTGTTTTTCTTTTTTGGGTCGGTGCCCCCTAAGCAACCGCTTATGCCTGGAACCGTCCCTGGGGATAGGGACCTCCCGAGGATTCTGGATAGCACAGACCCAATGATGACTCAGTGTTGTTGCTAGCAAATCCTGTGACCAGTTATCAAAACTTAACTCCGCCTCAATATAAGATAACTGAATTGAACGTTCCACAGCTACCCTAACCTTAACCCTTACCTTAACCATTTTAAATTTCAACTTCAGTGGGGTAGGGACGTCCCAGGGATCTAGGATAGCACGGACCATTCAGATATAGCTAGCTAATTGGTGGCCATAGCTGGAGTACCAGTTTGTTAGTGTTTCTGCTATCATGCCAACTCCCTGTCACTCATTCTGTCATTGTCATGCCAACCACACAAACAGGTCTGGACTGGGACCAGGCTTAGTTGGTCATTTAAAAGCATAGCTATTATGCAGCACACATTCTTTGTTGATTAGTGGTTGTCAAAAACAAACTAGCTATCTAAGTGGTGAACTTGGATTGTTTGGAGCTCTCTAGCTAGCTATCCAACTAACGCATGGAGTTGGCTATCCAGCTGTCCTCATCATGTCATCATGTAAAGTAACCACTCATATGATTTACTTTTCTGTTCTTAACTAAAATATGCTGTGGCTATTTCTAATACTATACTTTTACTAGGTGTATAAATGTTTGTTTACCTTTTGTGTCCCTCCCTGTCTAGGTTGACCATTGTGTTCTTTGCGCTCTCTGGTCTTGATGTCCTGGATTCCCTTAATGTAATAGATAAGCCCAGCTTGATTGAATGGGTCTACTCACTACAAGTTCTTCCTACAGAAGACCGTAAGTGCTACCTTGTAGGTTATATTGTTTTGGGGCATTCACGGCCTTCAGGAGGCACACACATACACGTAATTCACTTCATTTTGGTGGAACAGAAGAAGGCCAAACTAAACAGTCAGCTAAAACCAACTGAACTTTTTGTATCCCTTGGTACACTGTTTTAAACCATAGAAGCCCAGTCTTCTATGGTTTAGTGGTTATTTGCGCTCTATTCTTAGATGATATGCATAATACACTGTGCCAAGTCGATCAGTGTGAATTCTAGGGCCATTTAGCTGTAACAGTGGACAGTATACTAAAACAGGTTTAGGTGGACCACAAATCACACTTCTAAATCATACAGGATGTAGCGTCTTTGTGCTGTATGTGTCAGGCATTGAGTTTGTGAGACATGTATTTGAGTTTGTGAGACATGTATTTGAGTTTGTGAGACATGTATTTGAGTTTGTGAGACATGTATTTGGCCAGCAGCCGTACTTTTCCTCTTGCCCCACCCAACATCCTGTAGTTTGCTGTGCATCATTTATGAGCTCACTCCTCTGTATGATGGGCATCAGCCACTTCTGACCATCTGCTCAGTTTTTTAATTATTCAGGCGATGAACAGAAATCATATTAGGAACTTGTTTGTCGATTGGACATGGAAAGCTACAAACATATGTTACTTGTCTGACCTGTTACTTTTATAATTAACATTATTATTATAATGCAGTAGTTTCAGCTGCTAATATTCCGTTCTTTGTCAGAGACACTCCCATTCCTCCTTTATGAAGCTGACCTTATAGCTATCTATCCATTAGATGGCAGCATTGCACATAGTTGAGTTGCCCCACAGCAACAGACAATGCCTTCATTTGTGTTCATGGACTAGTATAATATAGTATCAGAGTAGGAGTGCTGATCTAGGATCAGTTTTGTATTTGAAATAATAATGAATAAGATCGGAAAGTATTCAGACCCCTTGACCTTTTCCAAATTTTGTTATGTTAGTCTTATTCTAAAATTGATTACATAGATTTTTTTTCCCTCATCAATCTACACACAATACCCCATAATGACAAAGCATAAACCGTTTTTAAAAAAATTGTGCAAATGTATTAAAAATAAAAAACGGACATATCACAGCCTCGAGTCTAATTGGGTATGATGCTACAAGCTTTGCCCAGCTGTAGTTGGGGAGTTTCTCCCATTCTTCTCTACAGATCCTCTCAAGCTCTGTCAGGTTGGATGGGGAGCGTCGCTGCACAGCTATTTTCAGGTCTCTCCAGATATGTTAGATCGGGTTCAAGTCCAGGCTCTGGCTGGGCCACTCAAGGACATTCAGAGACTTGCCCCGAAGCCACTCCTGCGTTGTCTTGTCTGTGTGCTTAGGGTCGTTGTCCTGTTGGAAGGTGAACTTTCGCCCCAGTCTGAGGTCCTGAGCACTCTGGTGCAGGTTTTCATCAAGGATCTTTCTGTACTTTGCTCCTTTCATCTTTCCCTCGATCCTGACTAGTCTCCCAGTCCCTGCCGCTGAAAAACATCCCCACAGCGTGATGTTGCCACCACCATGCTTCACCGTAGGGATGGTGCCAGGTTTCCTCCAGGTGTGACGCTTGTCATTCAGGCTAAAGAGTTCAATCTTTGTTTCATCAGACCAGAGAATCTTGTTTCTCATGGTCTGAGAGTCTTTAGGTGCCTTTTGGCAAACTCCAAGCAGGCTGTCATGTGCCTTTTACTGAGGAGTGGCTTTCCGTCTGGCCACCCTACCATAAAGGCCTGATTGGTGGAGTGCTGCAGAGATGGTTGTCCTTCTGGAAGGTTCTCCCATCTCCACAGAGGAACTCTGGAACTCTGTCAGAGTGACCATCGGGTTATTGGTCACCTCCCTGACCAAGGCCCTTCTCCCCCGATTGCTCAGTTTGGCCGGGCGGCCAGGTCTAATAAGAGTCTTGGTGGTTCCAAACTTCTTCCATTTAAGAATGATGGAGGCCACTGTGTTCTTGGGACCTTCAATGCTGCAGAAATTTTTTGGTACCCTTCCCCAGATCTGTGCCAAGACACAATCCTGTCTCGGAGCTCTACAGACAATTCCTTCGACCTCATGGCTTGGTTTTTGCTCTGACATGCACTGTCAACTGTGGGACCTTATATAGACAGGTGTGTGTGCTTTCCAAATCATGTCCAATCAATTGAATTTACCACAGGTGGACTCCAATCAAGTTGTAGAAACATCTCAAGGATGATCAATGGAAACAGGATGCTCCTGAGTCTCATAGCAAAGGGCCTGAATACTTAGTAAATAAGGTATTTCAGTTTTTTATCTTTACAAAATTTTTAAAAAATTATACAAACCTGTTTTCCCTTTGTCATTATGGGGTATTGTGTGTAGATTGATGAATATATATATATTTTAATCCATTTTAGAATAAGGCTGTAACGTAACAACGTGTGGAAAAAGTCAAGGGGTTTGAATACTTTCCGAATGCTGTGTGTGTGTGTGTGTGTGTGTGTGTGTGTGTGTATATATTACACACACTCTACCGTTAAAAAGTTTGGGGTCACTTAGAAATGTCCGTATTTTTGAAAGAAAAGCAAATTTTTTGTCCATTTAAAATAACATCAAATTGATCAGAAATACAGTGTAGACATTGTTAATGTTGTAAATGGCTATTGTAGCTGGAAACGGCTGATAAAAAAATAATTAAAAAAAGGAATATCTACATAGGCATACAGAGGCCCATTATCATTAACCATCAGTCCTGTGTTCCAATGGCACGTTGTGTTTGCTAATCCAAGTTTATCATTTTAAAAGGCTAACTCTTTTGCAATTATGTTAGCATAGCTGAAAACTGTTGTGCTGATTTAAAGAAGCAATAAAACTGGCCTTCTTGTGACTAGTTGAGTATCTGGAGCATCAGCAATTGTGGGTTCGATTACAGGCTCAAAATGGCCAGAAACAAATAACTTTCTTCTGAAACTCGTCAGTCTATTCTTGTTCTGAGAAATGAAGGCTATTCCATGCGAGAAATTGCCAAGAAACTGAAGATCTCGTACAATGCTGTGTACTACTCCCTTCACAGACCAGCGCAAACTGTCTCTAACCAGAATAGAAAGAGGAGTGGGAGGCCCCGGTGCACAATTGAGCAAGAGGACATACATAAGTTCTAGTTTGAGGAACAGGCGCCTCACAGGTCCTCAACTGGCAGCTTCATTAAATAGTACCTGCAAAACACCAGTCTCAACGTCAACAGTGAAGAGGCGACTCCGGGATGCTGACCTTCTAGGCAGAGTTGCAAAGAAAAAGCCATATCTCAGACTGCCCATCTTAATCTTTTATTTTTATTGGCCAGTCTGAGATATGGCTTTTTCTTTGCAACTCTGCCTAGAAGGTGACACACACAGTGCATTCGGAAAGTATTCAAACCCCTTGACTTTTTCCACATTTTGTTACGGTACAGTCTTATTCTAAAATGCATTAGAAGTGTTTCGTCATGTGTTTGATCTAGTGTTGCAAGGTATATTCCCAAACTTCCATACTGTGTTTGATATATATATACATACACACAGTACCAGTCAAAAGTTTGTACACAACTACTCATTCAAGGGTTTTTCTTTATTTTTACTAATTTCTACATTGTAGAATAATAGTGAAGACATCAAAACTATGAAATTACACATGGAATCATGTAGTAACCAAAAAAGTCTTAAACAAATCAAAATATATTTGAGATTCTTCAAATAGCCACCCTTTGCCTTGATGACAGCTTTGCACACTCTTGGCATTCTCTCAACCAGCTTCACCTGGAATGCTTTCCAACAGTCTTGAAGGAGTTCCCAGAAATGCTGAGTATTTGTTGGCTGCTTTTCCTTCACTCTGCGGTCCGACTCATCCCAAACCATCTCAATTGGGTTGAGGTCGGGGGATTGGGGAGGCCAGGTCATCTGATGCAGCACTCCAACACTCTCATTCTTTGTAAAATAGCCCTTACACAGCCTGGAGGTGTGTTGGGTAATTGTCCTGTTGAAAAACAAATGATTGTCCCACTAAGCCCAAACCAGATGGGATGGCGTATTGCTGCAGAATGCTGTGGTAGCCATGCTGGTTAAGTGTGCCTTGAATTCTAAATAAATCACACAGTCTCACCAGCAAAGCATCCCCACACCGTAACACCTCCTCCATGATTTACGGTGGGAAATACACATGTGGAGATCCACACCGCGTCTCACAAACACACGGCGGTTGGAATCAAAAATCTCAAATTTGGACTCCAGACCAATGGACAAATTTCCACCGGTCTAATGTCCGTTGCTGATGTTTCTTGGCCCAAGCAAGTCTCTTCTTCCTATTGGTGTCCTTTTAGTAGTGGTTTCTTTCCAGCAATTCGACCATGAAGGCCTGATTCACACAGTCTCGTCTGAACAGTTGATGTTGAGATGTGTCTGTTACTTCAACTCTGAAGTATTTATTTGGGCTGCAATTTCTGAGGCTGGTAACTCTAATGAACTTATCCTCTGCAGCAGAGGTAACTCTGGGTCTTCCATTCCTGTGGCGGTCCTCATGAGAGCCAGTTTCATCATAGCGCTTGATGGTTTTTGCGACTGCACTTGAAGAAACGTTCAAAGTTCTTGAAATTTTCCGTATTGACTGACCATTTCTCTTTGTTTATTTGAGCTGTTCTTGCCATAACATGGACTTGGTCTTTTACCAAATAGGGCTATCTTCTGTATACCCTCCCTACCTTGTCACAACACAACTGATTGGCTCAAATGCATTAAGAAGGAAATAAATTCCACAAATTAACTTTTAAGAAGGCACACCTGTTAATTGAAATGCGTTCCAGGTGACTACCTCATGAAGCTGGTTGAGAGAATGCCAAGAGTGTGCAAAGCTGTCATCAAGGCAAAGGGTGGCTATTTGAAGAATCTCAAATATAAAATATATTTTGATTTGTTTAACCCTTTTTTGGTTACTACATGATTCCATATGTGTTATTTCATAGTTTTGATGTCTTCACTATTCTACAATTTAAAAAATTGTAAAAATAAAGAAAAATAATTGAATGAGTAGGTGTGTCCAAACTTTTGACTGGTAGTGTATATATATATATATTTTATACCTTCCTTTTAAAATTGTCCCCTAACCCTACCACCCCTCCCCTAATTGGAGTAAATTAATGGACAACAACACTTAGGCTTCTACTTCCAGCATATACATACTATATACATTTTACAGACACAGTATATTTTACAATAGTTATCTTTTGTTTGTTTTTAGTCCCATCCTTCAGCTACCCTCAACCCCTCCCATCTATCCCTGAAGACCATCCAGTTTTGATTTCTATTTGCCATATATTTTTTAACTGTGCTGTTTCACAAAAGTTCTGAACCTGTATACATTTTACGGACACAGTATATTTTACATTAGTTATCTTGTTATTTTTAGTCAGTTCATAAACCATGTGCCATGGAATCAGTACATTGAAAATCTCTTCCCAACTATTTTGCAATCTATATGGCACAGCTGTCACTTTTTTGGTCCTTAAATTAAACTGTTATACTTTTTTATTTAACACAATTTTCTTTAACCAATTTTGGTCTTTAATGCAGGGTCGACAGACAAGTTCCTTACTTTCTCCCCCTTCCACCAGCCTCTTACATTTTTGCGGTAATGCTGTAATTAGTTGGTTGTAATTTTGAGTAGAGCAGACGTTTCCATATATTTTTGATAGCTGCATGTGTGACAACTCCACCAGTCCTATTTTATTATATAATTTACAAAGATTATACAATTTTTAAACATTTGTTCCCAAAATATTGTTTAAAAAAATTAATTAGTATATTTGAGTTTAACCATAATATTTGTTGTAATTGTAGTTCTGTCTTTTCTGGTGGATTAAACTGAAATTACAACCAACTTTCTATGTCATGTTTAAAAAAAAAAGCGATATAAATGACTCCTAGTGAGAGGTTGTAATCTGAATAAAGGGAAAAAGGCCATTCTTGAACATGGGGTGGGACATTCTTACTAATCTGCTAGAGAACCAGTTTGGACTTTTGTATGACTGAAGCCTTTAGGGAGAGGTCTAATGCTTTAATATTTAATCATTTCAGCCCTCCTAATTCATATTCATTATATAAATAGGCCCGTTTAATTTTGTCTGGCTTGCCTTTCCAAATAAAATTGAATATTTTTTGCTCATATAATTTAAAAAGCAAGACGCTAGGTGTAGTTAAGGCCATAAGCAAATAGTTAAACTGGGTGATTTCTCCACAAATAGACAGGTATTTATATATATTTTTATGTCCGCTGGCTTTACCATCGTTTCTCATACAACAAATTCAAATATTTTTTTCCCCCCCAGAATCCAATTTAGGACGTTGTGGGTTTCGCGGGTCATCACACATTGGAGTTCCATACAGCACCTCCAAGGTATTGATCTCATTTCATACCTCCACACATTTGAAACGCATCCTTGTTCAACGGACAGTTGAAGTCGGAAGTTTACATACACCTTAGCCAAATACATTTAAACTCAGTTTTTCACAATTCTTGACGTTTAATCCTAGTACAAATTCCCTGTCTTAGGTCAGTTAGGATCACCACTTTATTTTAAGAATGTGAAATGTCAGAATAATGGTAGAGAGAATTATTTATTTCAGCTTTTATTTCTTTCATCACATTCCCAGTGGGTCAGAAGTTTACATACTCAATTAGTATTTAGTAGTATTGCCTTTAAATTGTTTAACTTGGGTCAAACGTTTCGGGTAGCCTTCCACAAGCTTCCCACAATAAGTTGGGTGAATTGTGGCCCATTCCTCCTGACAGAGCTGATGTAACTGAGTCAGGTTTGTAGGCCTCCTTGCTCGCACATGCTTTTTCAGTTCTGCCCACAGATTTTCTATAGGATTGAGGTCAGGGCTTTGTAATGGCCGCTCCATTACCTTGACTTTGTTGTCCTTAAGCCATTTTGCCACAACTTTGGACGTATGCTTGGGGTCATTGTCCATTTGGAAGACCCATTTGCGACCAAGCTTTAACTTCCTGACTGATGTCTTGAGATGTTGCTTCAATATAGCCACATAATTTTCCTTCCTCATGATGCCATCTATTTTGTGAAGCGCACCAGTTCCTCCTGCAGCAAAGCACCCCCCACAGCATGATGCTGCCACCCCCGTACTTCACGGTTGGGATGGTGTTCTTCGGCTTGCAAGCCACCCTCTTTTTCCTCCAAACATAACGATGGTCGTTATGGCCAAACAGTTCTATTTTTGTTTCATCAGACCAGAGGACATTTCTCCAAAAAGTATGATATTTGTCCCCATGTGCAGTTGCAAACCGTACTCTGGCTTTTTTATGGCGGTTTTGGAGCAGTGGCTTCTTCCTTGCTGAGCGGCCTTTCAGGTTATGTCGAAATTGGACATTTTGGAAATTGCTCCCAAGGATGAACCAGACTTGTGGAGGTCTACAATGTTTTCTGAGGTCTCGGCTGATTTCTTTTGATTTTCCCATGATGTCAAGCAAAGAGGCACTGAGTTTGAAGGTAGGCCTTGAAATACATCCACAGGTACACCTCCAATTGACTCAAATGATGGCAATTAGCCTATCAGAAACTTCTAAATCCATGATATCATTTTCTGGAATTTTCCAAGCTGTTTAAAGGCACAGTCAACTTAGTGTATGTAATCTTCTGACCCACTGGAATTGTGATACAGTGAATTATAAGTGAAATAATCTGTCTGTAAACAATTGTTGGAAAAATTACTTGTGTCATGCACAAAGTAGATGTCCTAACCGACTTGCCAAAACTATAGTTTGTTAACAAGAAATTTGTGGAGTGGTTGAAAAACGAGTTTTAATGACTCCAACCTAAGTGTATGTAAACTTCCGACTTCAACTGTATTGATTAAGTGGTTGCCGTTAAAGGTATAGTTTGAAGATTTTAGCAATGAAGCCCTTTATCTACTTCCCTAGAGGCAGATGAACTTGTGGATACCATTTATGTCTATGTGTACAGTATGAAGGGAGTTAGAGGTAGTTTCATGAGCCAATCCTAACTAGCGTTACCGCAATGACTGGAAGTCTTCGGGATCAGCTAGCATGCTTCATTGCCAAAATCTCAAACTATCCCTTTAAATGTCTATGCAGCCCAATTCTGGTATTTTGCCCAATTATTGGCATTAATGCTGATCTGATTGGTCCAAAAAAAAAGGAAAAAGGTCCTAATTGGGCTGCCTGTGTAAACACAGCCTATGTAAGCTAGCTGTTTAAATCAAATTGCCTCCTCAGGGCCCAGGAGTATCCCACCCGTATGACAGTGGCCATGTGGCCATGACGTACACTGGCCTGGCCTGCCTGGTCCTACTGGGGGACGACCTGAGTCGTGTCAATAAGGAGGCCTGTCTAATGGGCCTGAAAGCCCTGCAGCTGGAGGACGGAAGGTAAACACCTAGTCACTCTCCTCTGCAGTTTACTCTCATGTGTTCTTTACCAGATCTACTAACAATTAGTTCATTTTCTTTTCTCTGGTAGTGCCTTGAGCAAGGCACTTAACTCATACAATTGCTCCAGGGGCACTGCACTGCGCCTGACCCAATGCGTCCCACCCCCATGGGGAGTTGGGTTGGGAGCATAAAGACACATTTATGTTCTCTGCATGTTATTGGACAGTAAAGTATTCTTCTTCTTAATGTGAGTTTTTGGGACTTTATAACTCTTTTGTGCGTTATGTGAAAGGAGACCTGTTTTAACCATGTCAATGGTGAGAACACTGTGTCAGACAGATCACTGCGTCTTGTTTGAAAGTATTGTTCTGAGAGGATTTAACCAGTAAAACCCTTTGACACAGCGAACCTCGTCCTTACAAGTCCCAAAAAAAAGCCATTTAACGTCTGCTGTGATGTCTGCTTTCAGTTTCTATGCCGTTCCAGAGGGAAGTGAAAATGACATGAGGTTTGTGTACTGCGCAGCATGCATTTGCTACATGCTCGACGACTGGTCGGGCATGGACATCAAGAAGGCCATCGACTACATCAGGGGAAGTATGGTAAGTCAGCTGTTTCACTTAGTCTCCGTCATCAAGCATCCTTCGTCCCTGAGCCTTGTCTGTATTCTCTAGAAGGGTTCAACCCTCAACCACTGGCCTCTTTCTACTAAATGTACTCTCAAATACTCAAATCTACTTGCTAGATTGTAAAACTGTGTTTTAACCCAACGCTGGTTTAACACAGTGTTTATTTCTCGTATCATAGACAACACATCAGAGAGGTAGGCCAACATCAAACAACTCATTTTGAAGGTGCATTGGAATCAAAGGGCCCTCTCCTGTTACCTGCCTGTCTCTACGACCCTCTCCTGTTACCTGCCTGTCTCTACGACCCTCTCCTGTTACCTGCCTGTCTCTACGACCCTCTCCTGTTACCTGCCTGTCTCTACGACCCTCTCCTGTTACCTGCCTGTCTCTACGACCCTCTCCTGTTACCTGCCTGTCTCTACGACCCTCTCCTGTTACCTGCCTGTCTCTACGACCCTCTCCTGTTACCTGCCTGTCTGTACGACCCTCTCCTGTTACCTGCCTGTCTCTACGACACTCTCCTGTTACCTGCCTGTCTCTACGACACTCTCCTGTTACCTGCCTGTCTCTACGACCCTCTCCTGTTAACAGCCTGTCTCTACGGCCCTCTCCTGTTACCTGCCTGTCTCTACGGCCCTCTCCTGTAAACAGCCTCTACGACCCTCTCCTGTTAACAGCCTGCCTCTACGACCCTCTCCTGTTACCTGCCTGTCTCTACGACACCGTCCTGTTACCTGCCTGTCTCTACGACACTCTCCTGTTACCTGCCTGTCTCTACGACCCTCTCCTGTTACCTGCCTGTCTCTATGACCCTCTCCTGTTACCTGCCTGTCTCTACGACCCTCTCCTGTTACCTGCCTGTCTCTACGACCCTCTCCTGTTACCTGCCTGTCTCTACGACCCTCTCCTGTTAACAGCCTGTCTCTACGGCCCTCTCCTGTTACCTGCCTGTCTCTACGGCCCTCTCCTGTAAACAGCCTCTACGACCCTCTCCTGTTAACAGCCTGCCTCTACAACCCTCTCCTGTTAACAGCCTCTACGACCCTCTCCTGTTACCAGCCTAGCTCTACGACCCTCTCCTGTTACCAGCCTAGCTCTACGACCCTCTCCTGTTAACAGCCTGTCTCTACGACCCTCTCCTGTTAACAGCCTGTCTCTACGACCCTCTCCTGTTACCAGCCTGCCTCTACGACCCTCTCCTGTTAACAGCCTCTACGACCCTCTCCTGTTACCAGCCTCTTTACAGTCCACGTCTTCAGAGAGAAACAGTTTACACAGAATTCACCCCAACACAAAAAGTCTGAGGGTTTTGTTACATCCTCTCTTCATGCTCCCCTATGGGGGATGTGAGGCCAGACGGAGGTGAGGAGAGCAGGCACTACTGGATCCTGCTGGGTCTGATGAAAGTGATGGTCTCCCCTGTGATCTCCCCTGCCTTCCTATGTAGTCCTACAAAATATGATGTAATCCAGTCTACACTCCACAGGGCAGGCAGCTGTATTCCTGTCTAGGTGGCTGTAGTGGATTACCCTGAGTTGTGGTGTGTGTGTGTGTGTGTGGGCCATGCTGTTGGCTGGTTTTTAAGAGGGCTCCAGGGTTATTCTCAGATGCCTATAAATAGAGGATATGATCCCACGGGAGAGAAGGCCTTACCAGACTCTAATCCTCTTACTCATTCAAATTTGGTGGGATTTTTAACCCTTGAGGCGTGGAGCTACAGTAAGCATCACTACCTTCAACATTGTTACTTCCTCATTGTCCCCAAAGCTGGTCTGTCTCATCAAGTGTGTGTATGATGTGTGGTTTAGTACGGTAAGCAAGCAGCACTGTGGACACGTGTTCATGGATTGCTCCACGTGGTCATTGATTGAGCAGCTTGTTTCCTGAGCTCTCCTTACATCATAGATCACATCTGTCACACCACACTTGATCTGAAAGTTATTACATGGTTTTAGTGACGGCTGTCCATTTCTCACATGGTCTTGCTGCTTTGTTTGTCTAATAGTCTGAATGTTGTTTTTGCTTCCTTAGTCATATGACAATGGCATTGGCCAGGGGGCTGGATTGGAATCGCATGGTGAGTATGACAGGCAGCACTCAAGGTTGATGGATATTATGGGTCTAGAAAGGGATTAGCCATTAGTCCAAAACCATACTACAACAAATATCCTTACAGTTTTTTTGTTTTTGTTTTTTAACTCTTTTCACAAGTATGTGGTACATTTTCACAACTCTTAGTACAAAACTCCAAACTGGTCACACTTGTAATGCGGCCAGTCTTTCATTCAAAACCTGTCATTGTGCATTAATTTGGATTGTAAACATCGCTCACCACACAACCATTGATTCAAAATATAAGTTTATTGTGAGATTTAATGAGAACATTGGTTTAATCACCAAGACACAACATAATGATACACTATATATACAATATATATAGGATGTGGACATCCCTTCAAATTAGTGGAATCGGCTATTTCAGCCACACCCGTTGCTGACAGGTGTATAAAATCGAGCACACCGCCATGCAATCTCTATAAACAAACATTGGTAGTAGAATGGCCTTACTGAAGAGCTCAGTGACTTTCAATGTAGCACCGTCATAGGATGTCACCTTTCCAACAAGTCAGTTCGTCAAATTTCTGCCCTGCTACGTCTAGGAGCAACAACGGCTCAGCCGTGAAGTGGTAGGCCACACAAGCTCACAGAACGGGACCGGCAAGTGCTGAAGCGCGTACACCCTGTCTTGAGCAGTTGGCCATAAATTCTCATCCACATCACTGAATGTCCTCATTGTTCATGCGCCGCAGGAAAAACCTTTCGGCATGGCGAATCCAAGCTTGACATTGGTCTGCATTGATGTCGTCGCATGCCTCATCCATGGCCAGAAGGCATGCTCATGGGGAGGGTGATCGTAGACCTTCCAACTCCATGCTGAAAATAATTCCTCAATAGTGTTGAGGAAAGGAGAGTATGGGGGCAGGTATAGGGTCATGAATCGGGGATGGGCCCGAAACCATGCCTGAACCACCTCTGCATGGTGGAACCTGACATTGTCCCACACAATGACATAGGTGACCAAGTCACCTTGACAGGCCTGCTAAATTTAATTGAGAAACACAATGAGGTGTGCAGCATGGTAGGATCTACAGTGAGGGAAAAAAGTATTTGATCCCCTGCTGATTTTGTACATTTGCCCACTGACAAAGACATGATCAGTCTATAATTTTAATGGTAGGTTTATTTGAACAGTGAGAGACAAAACAACAAAAAATCCAGAAAAACGCATGTCAAAAATTTTATAAATTGATTTGCATTTTAATGAGGGAAATAAGTATTTGACCCCTCTGCAAAACATGACTTAGTACTTGGTGGCAAAAACCTTGTTGGCAATCACAAAGGTCAGACGTTTCTTGTAGTTGGCCACCAGGTTTGCACACATCTCAGGAGGGACATTTGGCAACTCGAACCTTCAGCTCCCTCCACAGATTTTCTATGGGATTAAGGTCTGGAGACTGGCTAGGCCACTCCAGGACCTTAATGTGCTTCTTCTTGAGCCACTCCTTTGTTGCCTTGGCCGTGTGTTTTGGGTCATTGTCATGCTGGAATACCCATCCACAACCCATTTTCAATGCCCTGGATTCGAACCAGGATCTCTAGTGGCACAGTTAGCACTGCGATGCAGTGCCTTAGACCTCTGCGCCACCCATCCACGACCCATTTTCAATGCCCTGGCTGAAGGAAGGAGGTTCTCACCCAAGATTTGACGGTACATGGCCCCATCCATCGTCCCTTTGATGCGGTGAAGTTGTCCTGTCCCCTTAGCAGAAAAACACCCCCAAACATAATGTTTCCACCTCCATGTTTGATGGTGGGGATGGTGTTCTTGGGGTCATAGGCAGCATTCCTCCTCCTCCACACACGGCGAGTTGAGTTGATGCCAAAGAGCTCGATTTTGGTCTCATCTGACCACAACACTTTCACCCAGTTCTCCTCTGAATCATTCAGATGTTCATTGGCAAACTTCAGACGGGCCTGTATATGTGCTTTCTTGAGCAGGGGGACCTTGCGGGCGCTGCAGGATTTCAGTCCTTCACGGCATAGTGTGTTACCAATTGTTTTCTTGGTGACTATGGTCCCAGCTGCCTTGAGATCATTGACAAGATCCTCCCGTGTAGTTCTGGGCTGATTCTTCACCGTTCTCATGATCATTGCAAATCCACGAGGTAAGATCTTGCATGGAGCCCCAGGCCGAGGGAGATTGACAGTTATTTTGTGTTTCTTCCATTTGCGAATAATCGCACCAACTGTTGTCACCTTCTCACCAAGCTGCTTGGCGATGGTCTTATAGCCCATTCCAGCCTTGTGTAGGTCTACAATCTTGTCCCTGACATCATTGGAGAGCTCTTTGGTCTTGGCCATGGTGGAGAGTTTGGAATCTGATTGATTGATTGCTTCTGTGGACAGGTGTCTTTTATACAAGTAACAAGTTGAGATTAGGAGCACTCCCTTTAAGAGTGTGCTCCTAATCTCAGCTCGTTATCTGTATAAAAGACACCTGGGAGCCAGAAATCTTTCTGATTGAGAGGGGGTCAAATACTTATTTCCCTCATTAAAATGCTAATCAATTTATAACATTTTTACATGCGTTTTTTCCTGGATTTTTTTGTTGTTATTCTGTCTCTCACTGTTCAAATAAACCTACCATTAAAATTATAGACTGATCATTTCTTTGTCAGTGGGCAAACGTACAAAATCAGCAGGGGATCAAATACTTTTTCCCTCACTGTAAGTAATGGCCTATGTCCTACCACACCATCTACAGAGATAGCTTCGCACATGGAGATGTTTCCCCCACGTTGTCCAGGCACTTGGACAGTCGCCCGTTGGCCGACGAGGTTCCGCCCACGGAGCCGTGTTTTGGCCAGGTTGAAGCCCGCTTCATCAACAAAGATAGACTTGTGATGATTCACAGCAGCATCAAGCACATTTTACATTTACATTTTAGTCATTTAGCAGACGCTCTTATCCAGAGCGACTTACAGTTAGTGAGTGCATACATAATTAAAAATAAAAATAAAATACATACTTTTTTTCATACTGGCCCCCCGTGGAAGCACCATCACCCTCTAACAATATATTTTGGTTAGTTCTTTTTACAGTATAGTTCCATTATGATATTGTGAAGTAGCTTGTGCATTAATAGTAACAATAATACAGTATACATGTACAGTATGGGGCTGTACCTGAACATACTCGGCCCACAGTTGTTTCACCCGGTCGTTGTTTCTCTCAAAAGGCACCAGGTAAATGTTTTTCATAGATACCTGGTGTCTCTTCAAAAGGCACCAGGTAAATGTGTTCCATAGATACCTGGTGTCTCTTCAAAAGGCACCAGGTAAATGTGTTCCATAGATACCTGGTGTCTCTTCAAAAGGCACCAGGTAAATGTGTTCCATAGATACCTGGTGTCTCTTCAAAAGGCACCAGGTAAATGTGTTCCATAGATACCTGGTGTCTCTTCAAAAGGCACCAGGTAAATGTGTTCCATAGATACCTGGTGTCTCTTCAAAAGGCACCAGGTAAATGTGTTCCATAGATACCTGGTGTCTCTTCAAAAGGGTGGTGATTGTTGGTAGGCTGATGGATGCCACATTGGCAAAGGTGTCATCGTTCTCCTCAATGGCCTGCTTTATTTCAGACAGCCGTATGTCATTCCTGGCCCTCACCATTTCCACCACTGCCCACTCCTGCTGGTCGGTCAGTACACAGCCACTGGGTCTTCTGTCAATTCTGAGGGTAGAACCGAGTATACTGTCAATAGATCATACTGTAAGAATACTGTAATATGTTTTGTGAATTTACATGCATTACAATATGTAATGGTAAAGCATAGTGCATATCCTGCAGACTTACCGGTTTTCTTGGCGAAATGTTCTCATGATTGAATTGACAGTTGATCTTTCCAGATTTGGGTGAACTAATCTAGCAGCCTCTGCCATGGTAAGGCCTCTGTTTACCACATGGTCAACGACGATGGCCCGGACTTCATTAGACACAACAGTTCCCTGCCCGTCTGCCTCCCTCTCTCTGATGTCCACCTCTTTGACAGGGCCCTTTTATATGGTGACCAATTGTGGTTCCCACTGTGAAATCAATTAGCAATAACGAGTAATGTCGTAGCCGGCCGCGACCGGGAGACCCATGGGGCGGCGCACAATTGGCCCAGCGTCGTCCAGGGTAGGGGAGGGAATTGCCGGCAGGGATGTAGCTCAGTTGGTAGAGCATGGCGTTTGCAACGCCAGGGTTGTGGGTTCGATTCCCACGGGGGGCCAGTATGAAAAGTATAAATAATGTATGCACTCACTAACTGTAAGTCGCTCTGGATAAGAGCGTCTGCTAAATGACTAAAATGTAAATGAGGAGTCATGTATGGTTATCATGTATCATACATGTAATATAGATGTTTATACTTGACAAACACACATTTTATTTCTGTAGTTCTCAAAATCCATATATAGTCTACGAACCATTTAAAAAATCTATAGGTTTACCAAACAGTTAAGTGGTTAACCATTAAGCGCAGTTGGAATAAGTGATGGTCAAGTGTATTTAAACACATGAGAAGAGAATAACAATGTATTGTGAGGCAATTACTTCTAACGAAAGGTATTTCTAGAGGAAACACTGATTTTAGGTTTGGTGAAAAAGTTACTGTGTGATTTTGTGTGTTGTACTTAGTCAATAGATTTTTTTGTTGAAAAAACTACCTTTTTCATTATCTGTTTTGAGTTTTGTACTAAGAGTTGTGAACTTTTACCACATACTTGTGAAAACAGTACCAAAGTGATTTTAAAAAAACACTGTAATTCCTGCCAATTAAACCCTATTATTTCAGGGATACTCCAGGCTTAGCTAAGCTACTGCCGGGAGAGATTTGCGTAATAAACCATGGCACGTTACACAAAGCATTTCTATCAGTTCAGTTCAAGTAATACAATTATAACCTTTATTCAACCCTGGATGCAAACCGTACCAATTTTTTTGGAATGGCTTGATCATTCGTATTATCTCAAATAGGTAGGTACACACATTCCTCTTAACTATCTGCAGAGTGCAAGGTCCTCCCTCATTGTTAATGGCCTACACACAGAGCTGTTCCCCGGGCAGATTTATACGCCGCCTCGGCATCTTCCCCCGCAATTACACCTCTGCAGTTGAGAAGTGATGAGAAGGCTCTGATGCTGATGTTGTGACAGTTGAAAAGGGAAACGGGTGATGGATAGTGGCGCTGTGCCGGTGGCTGATAAACCCTGTCATTAGGCTGTCTGTCTGTCTTTCTGTCTGCCAGGTGGGTCCACGTTCTGTGCCGTCGCCGCACTGAGTCTGATGGGCAAATTAGAGGAAATGTTCAGCCAGCGCGAGCTGAACAGGATACGCCGCTGGTGCATCATGAGACAGCAGAACGGCTTCCACGGCCGCCCCAACAAGCCCGTCGACACGTGTTACTCCTTTTGGGTGGGCGCCACACTGGAGGTAACGGGAACTAGGCTGGAACCGCTGCAGACGTACCAGCGTACCTTTTTACGGTCCATTAACGTTGCTTTATTATCGAAGCGCCTAATTCTAACCTTTCCCATTCTCAGCTCCTAGATGTCTTTCAGTACACTAATTTCGAGAAGAACCGGAACTACATCTTGTCAACTCAGGACCGTTTGGTGGGCGGCTTCGCTAAATGGCCAGACAGTCACCCAGGTAAGGTTACAGGTGTGGATAGGGTGGGAGGGAGTGTTGGCCTTTGTCAGTGGAAACCTCTCGTAAGCTAACACCCAAGGGGCTGGGATGTCTAATTGATGAGGTTATTGTCCAGAACGAGCCCTCAGGACACAGGAGTGGAACAGGCCTCACGTTACAGGAACTGTTTGCTTCTCAGGCCATCTAGATGGAGAATATAGAGAACAAGAAGACAGAACTGTCATGCAAAGTGATTGTGAGTGCATACAATGTAGTCTAATAGTTTTAATATAATTTTGTATTATTTCATAGTTTTTATGTTGATTGTCTTTAAAGTCCCAGATGCAGTTAATATTGTACGCAGAAGCACTAAACAGAAATGCATCGTCATCATTGAAGTACACAAGTCCTTTAAGAACATTTCCACAGGACCTTGAGTCATAATTCATGTCGAAATGGCTCTTTAATTGATTTGAATGTCTGCTTCCAATCTGTTGTCTTTTCATTATAATTCAGTAATGGTACATTTACTGTGCCTGGAAGGCTTTTAGTAGAGTCCCATGGGAGATGGATGGTTGAAAGGGGCCATGGTGCATTATTTAAAGCTCCCTTAAAGGGCCAGTCCAACAACAATGCATCCATTGACTGTTGTAGCTGGTTATTACTCATGAATACTGCAATTTAGGTCGTAAGTATCATATACTTGGTTTCATGTACAGTTCTTCTCTCAAGTACTGTGTACCAACCTATTCATAGGTTCCTAAGAAAATATAAATGTATGATTATTATTTAAAATGTCATTAGAAATTCTATAGAGTAGAAGACTGTATTATCAAAAGACAAAGTATGGAAAAGGGTTGTGATGTTTGATTCAAGACAAACTTTATACTGAACAAAAATATAAACGCAACATGCAACAATTTAATTGATTTGACTGTGTTACAGTTCATATGAGGAAATCAGTCAATTGAAATAAATTCATTAGGCCCTAATCTATGGATTTCACATGACTGGGAATACAGATGTGCATCTGTTGGTCACAGATACCTTTCGAAAAATATATGGGCCTCGGGATCTCGTCACTGTGTTTTTGTGCATTCAAATTGCCATTGATAAAATGCAATTGTGTTCATTGTCCGTAGCTTATGCCTGCCCATACTATAACCCCACCGCCACCCTGGGGCACTCTGTTCACAACATCGGCATTAGCAAACTGCTCTCCGACTTTGTCTGCAGTTGTAAGGCTGGTTGGATGTACTGCCAAATTCTCTAAAACGACGTTGGAGGCGGCTTATGGTAGAGAAATTAACATTAAATTCTCTGGCAACAGCTCTGGTGGACATTCCTGCAGTCAGCATTCCAATTGCATGCTCCCTCAAAACTTGAGACATCTGAGGCATTGTGTTGTGTGATAAAAGTGCACATTTTAGAGTGGCATTTTATTGTCCCAGCACAAGGTGCACCTGTTTTAATGATCATGCTGTTTAATCAGCTTCTTGATATGCCACACCTGTCAGGTGGATGGATTATCTTGGCAAATGAGAAATGCTCACTAGCAGGGATGTAAACAAATTTGTAAACAACATTTGAGAGAAATAAGCTTTTTGGGCGTAAGGAACATTTCTGGGATCTTTTTATTTCAGCTCATGAAACATGGGACCAACACTTTACATGTTGCGTTTATTTTTTTGTTCAGTGTAATTGAGATCAGACGTATTGGCAACCTGCCAATTATCATGTCAAGATCTGTTTTATTAAAAAGCGTTTAGTCAGTCCATCGTGACAGGTGTTGCTGTATACCAGGTGTTGATGTATACCATTTAAACCTGTTTTGGTAGCACTTTATATTTATTTCATGATTTACTTCATGATATTTCACGTGGGGCAAATGTAAGGTTGTTAAAGGAGCTGTGTGGAACTGGTTTTCTATGCGTTTAAAAGCCCATGGCTGCGTTCCAGGCTGACTACATTGCAGACACCTGCCATATTTCACAATGCCTGGATAGGTATTTTAACATATCAGCTAACCACATCATATGATATAGCATTCTGATGTTCGACTGTGCAGTCGATGATGTGGAACGCAACCATTGGTTGACGCAATAGACCTGGAACGCGACCAAAGCCACAGTGCCTTTTAAAGTGGCAGGTGCTGAGGCGCGTCACTTGGCTGACCTACTTTCCTCCTCTCCTCTCCCGTCTGTTCCAGACCCGCTGCACGCCTACTTCGGGATCTGTGGCCTGTCTCTTATAGGAGAGGCCACCCTGCGGCGAGTTCACCCCGCCCTAAACGTGAGCCAGAGGGCCTTTGAGTATCTGCAGCATCTACACCAGACGTGGAGAGGCACCTGCACCTGACGGCAACATTCCCCCCAGACCCCTGCCCCAGCCTCCAAGCACCACCACCACCACAGCCCCTAAGCCATGCACAGCCTTTCCCCCCTCAGTTAACTTAGCAGTAGAAATGATAGTGGGTAGACAAAGGACACAGTCCCACTGAAATGGCGGGGGGGGGGGGTGAATAAATAAATGATCGGGTCCATCAATAATTGAGAGCAAACTGGCGGAGTAGACGCTCAGGCCGGGCAAGAGCTCATTCGATTTCTAAATTTGGTTGTGCATCAGAAGTTTTTCTCTTATGTCAGTCACTGACAGTCACTCAATTAGCCCATGTCAGCTAACATTTTTTATATTGGTAAGTTAGTCTAGCCAGCTATCTGAACTGGTGAAATTAAGGACCGGGGGGCCCCCATTGATTTTGTTAGTCACTCTCACTCAGATATCATATTCAAAACTGCTAACATTTCTCTCTACCCTATGGCAAATGAGTAGAATTGCAGGAAATTGGCTGTAAAACTGCAAATTTTTCTCTGCCCAATGGCACAATGAGTAGAATTGCAGGAAATTAATTATATAACTAAAAAAAATGTGTCTCCGCTGTCAAGACGGGGGCCGATTAAATTGTTTTGCTTGAAACAAAATGTCACTTAGGGCCCCAAAATGACTAGGGCCGGCTCTGGCTGCATGTGTGGGTATGGATATAGGTATGCAGACCCGCGAGCCACCGCAGCCCCTCATGATGAGTTCAGATTTTTTTGTGGCCCCCACCCCCATCAAAGTTGCCCATCCCTGAGCTAGATTCACTGTAGGTTCGTTCTCAGCTACATTCTCAAAAGATCTCAGAACGTTTGAATTCATTTTACTGACTTTTTGCCTTGAATTGAGTGTTGTTTTTTTTGGTCAAAATGTTACTGTCGAAAACCAACATGGTTGCTACACCACTCAAGCCTCTTGTATTTATCCAGGATTAGTTTGTTTTTAGCATTTGTATTTTGTTAACCCGTGTAGGTGGCTCCAGACATATTTTTGGGTTATGGCAGTGTGCTGTGCTCCTCAAGGCTGACAAGTTACTCAAACTTGATTCCCTTCTGAAATGTGCCTCACACAGCAGACGCTGGGCTCTCTAACCTGGGAGGGGCCTTAACTGTATGGACTTGCCTGTCACTGCAGATGAGTGTTATTGGGTCAAAATACACGTGAATGTTTGCCTCAACATGAAAAACTATATAGAAACAAGTGAAATTGAATTTATTTTTTCTGTACTTTATAGAAATATTGAGTGTAGATAATCTATAAATGTCAATGTCATCTCTATCATGCAAATGCTCAATCTAATCACTGCTATTTCAGTGAGATAGGAGGATTTGATATGCAATGTTGATATGTTAAATAAATAATAGCATATTCTCTTTATCATGTCAAATCAACTAAACGTGCTAAAACTGGCTTGGGGATGCATATGTATGTGAAATGAATAAAAATTCCTAACTTTTCATTGGTGCAGAGTGTGAGTTAGTAGCCTGTTAATGTTTCTGTCAAAAGTAACAGTTAAATGTCATGATTGTTTGAGGTTATTATGTCTAAGATCTAATCAAGGAGATTGTCCTTGGGGTCTGCAGTGTTTGCTGGTTTGTCAGCCATTGATTATCTTATCCACTCACCACTTTAATCAGCATATGTATGAAATTCAGCAGCTCTCCCCTATCCTTCCTTTTTTTCTCTGAAAAGTGAAGGTGTGCCAACAACCTTGATGTCAGAGTATAAAACAGAGGTACTTTATCAAATATACAGTATTTCCCTGCATGTTGTCATCCATGCACTCTGCTCTTATTAAGACTCCAAAAAAACAGGGGAAAATGACCTTTTTCTGCTACAGAATTTATACAGTGTTTGACCTTTCATGTGACATGACATAAATCATATCACTAGCCCTAGGAGTACTTTACTTAAAGGTTACATAATTGCAATTGTTTTGCCCTGTGAAATCTAGTAGTTAAAGATAAACGACTGTTTTTTCGTGTTCTTTGCTCAATCCAGTGGCATGCAGGGTCCATAATGTGGCTTTATTGTGCACTGATGTTTCCAGTATGGACCACACTGTTTGCCGGTGGTATTGGGTGTATGACATGGGCACTCTACCATTGTGTCCAGTGAGGTGAAATCCGCGTGAAGCTGAAATCTGGTGACGCCATCGCCATGCATGGAACAAGTGGCATCGCCACCAATTACGCACAACTTAATCCTCTCAACCACTGACATATCCAATAGAATTCACATATTTATCATAAAACAGTTGTCTTAATATGTGGTATTGGTTACAGAACGAAATAATGTTGATTTTAAGGGATTAGCTTGGAAGACCAAAATAAACTAGCCTATAATGTCTATTGTTGCAAAAACTGTTAAATAAATGTAACAAAATAACGTATAAACTATCAGGCAAAAAGGCATGTTTTCAGATCGTAACGAACTAATATGTAGGCTAAACTAGCATATTTATAGGCATAGCATGCATACATTCGACTCCAATTAATTCCATAGTTTTATCTCGTAATCCATTCTATTCCCAAACATCATTAGAGATCATTTTCTGTCATTTAAAAATAGCCATAGTCTATTCATTGTTGGGTGAGTAGGCTAGGGTAATATCTGAAGAAATACAAAGGGCTCAGTTGGAGATATCGCCGATGATGCGCCTAAACTGCGCGGGCAAGCGCACGCCTCAGATGTACAGTGAGGGCGGGGTTAAACATCAAAGATTTCTAGCTAAATCAAATGTTCTCCTCAAGCAGCTGGGGCATGAATTAATTGGATGCTACATAGGCTGCTCGAAGTATATAGGATGAGGACGAAGAAGCAACCATATTTCTCTGACTGTGACATTCACTCTTTGGGAAGCCATTCGATTTTTACAGTGTTTGTTGTGCTATTTATTTCTTATTGACCCATTGTTTATTATATTTCTCCATTGTCTTGACGACATTATCTGTCATTATGTCGGATACCGAAGATAATCAGGATATGTTACCGAGTTTGGTCCAGCAGATAGTCCAACGGATAACAGCGGGAGAGGTGAGTGAACGTCAGATATGTTTTATGTTAATGTCAGATCAGTAGCCTGTTGGAGCAAAGCTGGCATCTTCAGTATGGTGTCCGCTAGATCTAGGTGTGTAGTCTAGGTAGAGAGGACGGATGGTCGAGGGTTTGTGCCGTCCTTGGAACAGGATTAGGGATGTAAATATATAATGTGCATGAAATATGAGGATTTGTAGATGGGTGTTGTAATTTTATTTTATTCTTATCTATCCATTTTATCTGTATCTATGCTATCTGAAAGTGTGACGTGAGCAGTTCATGTGGGGTGCAAGACTCACAAAGGTGTTTTTTCTCCATGGAATCTCCATGAAGTCCTTTATTTTCCTTTATCCTTTTATAGGTTGCAAACAAATGCCATTATCTTATGTCAAGGTTGTCAATCATCATAAATCGAAATATTGAATTTAAATATACTAATTAGGCTTTGCAGGATACAAAGGGGTTACATAAAGAATATACTGCAAATGCAGGCCTAAGAAATATTGTAGGCTTTTGACCTATTAACATACATTATTAAAGACATGCTCCGGAACTTTGGCGACTACCAAGTATTTTTTAAACGTTCCACTTTGGGCTGGATGTGTCTATGTGTAATTCATACATGCATAATCTATGAGCAGAATTAATGTCTTACCTCAATTAGCCACGAAATTCCTAGTTTGAAAGTGACCGTTTTTTTGGAAGCTGTGCTGCACCATTTCCCTACATTTTCCCCCAGGTTGGCCAGCCCCTAGCAATTCGAGTTCAACCAATGAGCTTCAAGAGGCACATCATGCACCTACAGCATAGCAAGAGACCGCAATGACGTGGTCCACAAATCTGCACATATGTGACATTGTACGCAATTGTTCGGGGACCACTTTTGCCGTGTGAAGGCTACTTTCAGAACTACAGTATACAAAAGTACCAGAGAATCTCTTTAATGACCATCCTTTATTGTAACTAGGACCCCATGTAATATTTACATTTGGCATGAACTTTATTTTGGACAATGCGCCAGATGTGCAAACTGGTAGGGTAAGCTTTAGCCTACATTTCAAGCCATTCATAATTAATATGGCACTTCATGGCCTATAATGTAGCCTATTCCTAATGCCCTTCCCTACAAATATTATTCAGGACTATGAGTGCACGTTCTCTGCAAATGATAGGCCTAACAGTTGCAATTTTGGTAATGCAACAATGTAGCATCTCTCAAGTGCAATTTTGGAACATTGTTGCAAACCTCAGGTTTTGGTCTAGTGCCCCCATACTCAACTGGCGGACTGCAGTCCGGATCCAGACCCAGAACGGGGTCAATACGGACCACGGGCAGCTGTCTACTTGGTCGGGCTTCGACCCCTGGTATCATTTAAACACACATAAGACATGGAAAAATTTGTACAATTGCAGGAATTGAGCTTTAAAACAGCAAAAACATATTTGACCCATGCAAAATGTGTAGAATTGAAGGACATTAGCTTTAAAACTGAAAAATGTTCTGTCTGCCAACGAGGGGTGTGAATAGTTTGTTACTATGCTGATAAATGACGATATCAAATCAAATCACATTTTATTTGTCACATGCGCCGAATACAACAGGTGAATTGCTTACTTACAAGCCCTTAACCAACAATGCAGTTTTATGAAAAATAAGTGTTAAGTAAAAAAGAGATGAGTAAAAAAATTAAAAAAATAATAATAATTAAAGAGCAACAGTAAAATAACAGTAGGGAGACTATATACAGGGGGTACCGGTACAGAATCAATGTGCGGGGCACAGGTTAGTCGAGTTAATTGAGGTAATATGTACATGTAGGTAGAGTTAAAGTGACTATGCATGGATAATAAACAGAGAGTAGCAACAGTGTAAAAATGGGGTGGGGTGGGGTGGGGGGATTAGCTATTCAGGAGTCTTATGGCTTGGGGGTAGAAGCTGTTAAGAAGCCTTTTGGACCTAGACTTGGCACTTCGGTACCGTTTGCTGTGCGGTTGCAGAGAGAACAGTCTATGACTAGGGTGGCTGGAGTCTTTGACCATTTTTAGGACCTTTCTCTGACACCGCCTAGTATAGAGGTCCTGGATGGCAGGAATCTCTGCCCCAGTGATGTACTGGGCCGTACAGAGGGTAGTGCCTTGCGGTCGGAGGCCGAGCAGGTGCCATACCAGGCAACGATGCAACCAGTCAGGATATCCATCCGGACCTTAACCACCTAGGACATTTGTGTGACCGGACCTTCTCAAATAGTACTTGAGGAGGGGTACTCAAGTACTATTTGAGAAGGTGCGGTCACCAGTGGCGGCTCCTGAAAAAATTCTCAGGGGGGGCAATTTTTCTGATGATTTAGGTGACCTACACACATTTTAAAAAAGATATGTCCAGCAACAACATGAAGACAGGGGCAGCATATAAGTCAATACCAGAAGCATTTATTGACTGATCTCAAAAGTGTTGGCTTACCAGGGTTGGTGGAGCCCTCAGTTTCATCTTTGCCTCGCAAAGCTAACTCAAACACTCCGCAAAACTTCACACACTGGATTAGCCGGCTGAGGATGTGGCGGTTCTTGCTAATGTCGTAGTAAATATATTTGTTATAGTGAATATGGAATATGATATGTTGAGTAAAATGTTGTGCTAAGATCTATTTAGGTCAGGAGCTGGTTATAAGTTCTGTTCCTATCCAATAACAATGGACAAAAGGGTCCTATCTTGTCAGCCTTGTCAGCAGGTGGCCAAGGACAACACCCACGCCATAGGCCTCTCAGTTCTTCCAACTCACGAGTTCTTGCTCTGAGGACACACACACACACACACACAAACACACACACACACATCATCACTGTTAAACACACACACACACATCATCACTGTTAAACACACACACACACACACACACACAAAAATCCCCTCTCTTAGGCTGAACATTTGAAGACAGAGAACCCGACTCAGAGCCAATGCAACAGTGACAGTAGCCTGGAGGGGACCTCGCCCAACTCATCAGGACCAATCAGAAGATCAGAACTACTAGATTCAACCTACTTCATTTATTGCATAAAATGTCTGCACACAATGTTTCGGGGCTCTCTTCAGATAATAATAATAATAATAATAATAATAATAATAATATGCCATTTAGCAGACGCTTTTATCCAAAGCGACTTACAGTCATGCGTGCATACATTTTTGTGTATGGGTGGTCCCGGGGATCGAACCCACTACCTTGGCGTTACAAGCGCCGTGCTCTACCAGCTGAGCTACAGAAAGTGGATACTCATGGATGCGCATCGCAATTGTAAAATGTCAACACAATTGGAGACACCACGTCATTTTTGGAGACATGTTATTGACAGTAAACTATTGTAGATGCGACTGCTAACTAAATAAAACATTTTAGCTGGCTAGCTAATCATCTTAGCTAAATGTGGGGCAAACAATTCAGTTATTTACCGTTAATTTGAGGGATTGGGGTGAAAGAAATCGAGTTACATAGTGATACTTTACGATATACTGTATTGACAATATCGCAATATTTTAGCGCTAGTTGGCTGTACCTGCACCAAAACACCATTATTGTTCCTTCATAGCTTGTTCTCAATCTTTTCACATTGGGAGCCAATTTGTTTTCAGCACTTTTATTTCCATGACTGATCAAAACTCGTTCTCATGGCTTTCTGATCCCTCTGCAACAGACATATGGTGTGCAATAAAATCACAGTATCGAATCGCAATACGTATAGAATCATGAGACTCGCAATGCATATATCTTATCGTGAGGTTCCTGGCAATTCCCAGCCCAAGTTCATTTGCCACAACAAATCTCTTCGCTAGCAAACGCGATGTCTTCTCCAAAACGGCAATGTGTCTCCAGCAATGTTTACTTTTTTGACGTTCTATGGCATCTCCACTTTCCAAGCATATATGACCACATGTAATATTTTGGTAAGTGATGCAAATAGTGAACTATGTAGGGCCAGGATGTAAAATATATGTAGCTGCAGCAATTTCTCTTATCTGATATGGTAAGTAATGGGGCTTAATGTATAGCTCCCTAAGAGTTTGACGAACGGGTCCGTGCACGCGATTCCAGATATCTTTACCTCTGAATAAACTGCCTTTATTATACCATATCCACCCTGTCCAAAGTCTCTACTTGGTCTCAGTTCTCCAGTAAACTTGTGATTATCAACACTAACCTCATCGTTGTGGCGGCGGACAGCTAGCCTGTATCCCTCATCCAGTTGAGTGGCAATGTTCTTTTTTCGTTCGTACCAATTTTTGGAAAATCCTCGGGTGTAGGACTTTCCGCCTTTAGTAGAAACCTGTTGAATTATTAAATTTGGTCTGGGAGGTCCTAATTGTTTCGTTGCCAATTTATCTTGATTTGTTCGCCGACAAAAAGGAACTTCTTTCAAAGAGACAATCGAGTTGCACTGCCATTTTGACAGTAATAGTGAATTGATTGATGAGGCTACCCGCTCTTTTCTTAGTTACGTTCATGGTTATGTTACGTATGACGAAAGCGCGTAAGTGCAAGCCCTCAGACACCCATAGAGATTGTATTGAAAGCTCTGATATTTGAAAAAAATAGATTTTACATGGGAGTCTATGACAGACTTCTGGGCGATTTTCAACCTGACTGAAATCGCCCCAAAAGGGGGGGTGGCCATTTGAAGCACGACTTTAGCCTGATTGGACATTTAGTGGCAGATCAGACCAGACGTCTAGATTACAACACTGATAACTACTGTTGCCGTGATATAATTGATTAGAAAAAAAATCCCTTCCTTTTCCCGTTTGGCAGTGCGTCGCCCATATCGCCCTATTGAACACACCGCCCCTGGCGGTCACACACATTTTCTAGGTGGCAAAGCATTTATCAGCCAGTGAAACCCGATCCAATTGCCCTTCCCCTCTTTTAACCCAATGAGTCCCACCGTATCGCCGGCACATTTTGGACTTCTAACCCTTTTAAAATATTGTGTGTTTGAGCTACACTTCTGTGTTGTACCATTGTATTCGTCTATTTCTTCTGCATCCATAGATACCAACCATTGTGTAATTAACATGGGCTGAGCTAGAGCCGTGTTTGCAAGACAAGGGCGGATCCCGATGTTGCCCGGGGCCAAATGCTTTGAGCTACAAACTATTAAAAGCTATCTATGAAAATCTGATTTCTCTATGATGCCAAAGATTATGAATATACTGACAAGATAGATAGTTTCTCCGTCCTAACAATGGGAGTTATTTTCCACAAAGCGGGACGGTGTGTTTAGCTCCCGCCTATCCTTTCTTTGGATTGGTGGATGCATCTCATTATTGTAATTCTTTTTTGAATATTTGATGAGGGTTGTTAACGTCAACCACCTGTATTCAATGGAGAGACATGCTGTGCTACTAGCCTCATGCCATGAATATGCATACCCATCTTGAGACAACGCCGATAGAAAGTGTCCTACTTATATCAGTACAGTCATAACAAATTAAACATTACGAAACTTCTATTCGATCAAATCAACCTCACGTAGCAAATAAGCCATACATTGTTTTGTTGACCAAATGCGAAACTCTCCCATTGACCTCCATAAAAAAACTCCTTGCTTGGTCAGCGAAACGATGAAAAAACGCCACCTGCTGGAGGGAGACAGATTTTCCGCCGAGTTAGGCCTCTCTTCCTCTCTGATGACTCTCACAAGCTATACAAGCGTCGTTAACACATGTCAAACTCATTCCACGGAGGGCCGAGTGTCTGCGGGTTTTCACTCCTCCCTTGTACTTGATTGTTGAATTAAGGTAACTAATTAGTAAGGAACTCCCCTCACCTGGTTGTCTAGGTCTTAATTGAAAGGAAACACCGAAAACCCGCAGATACTCAGCCCTCCATGGAATGAGTTTGACACCCCTGTTACATAGATCATTGGAAATCCTAGGACAGGGTTCTTCAATTCCGGTCCTGGAGGGCCGAAACACTTCTGTTTTTTATTTCTACCTGGTAGTTAATTGCACTCACCTGGTGTCCCAGGTCTGAATTAGCCCCTGATTAGAAAGAGAGGATGAAAAACAGAGGTGTCTCGGCCCTCCAGGACCGGAAATGAAGAACCCTGTCCTAGGACATCGTGTCTATAATACTGTAATAAGCTCACATAGTTGCTGTCACAAAGGCCAAACTCCACACAGTTGTCACTGACTAGTTGGATATTAATTTCCCAGTGAGCAAACCATTTCTGTAGGCCACTTACAGCATTCATAAACATTGATTTTTATCAGGTTTATGCTTTGGCGGATTTTCCTTTTATTGCCATTTGTCAATAAAACTCATGAATGCAACTGTTTGTGTCGAGTTGTTTTGTGTTGTACTTGTAGCCCTAGTTGTCCTGAAAATAAAACGGCAAAACACTTAATTGTGAGGCTAAATATAAAGTCTGGAAATGCAGATAAATTAAAGTCCGATTTTTACTGGGATCTCGGGACTGATAGGGTTAAATCCTCAGGGCTGCAGCATTGTTACTATGGTGATTTCGGTGCCTCCACCCCGCCGCACACAGCTTGCTGCTGTCTGTCATTGCTTGAACTGCACCAGCATTTCGACTGTGGCTGATTCACGCGGCGCGGTTTTATCCATACCGTCTAGTCACGGTATTTAATTCATTGTCGACTCAACAGCGCTCGTGAGTGTGGTAGTCGTCATCTTTAACATACGTTGGAGAAGTTTTAATAAGCTAAACGCCGCAAAAAAATACAAATAATGATGTCTGCGGTGTCGCGACGTAACTCAATTTTACCGGTAAGTGGAAATTGTACAGGTCGTACTAGTTTTAATATGACAAAATATGGTAAGTAACACCCTCGTGGAACGTTACTGATTCATAATTGTTTGAGGTTTACAGACTCGATGGTTGACCTTGTTTTTCTTATTTCAAATTGTGAGGTCGAAATTAGGGTATTTTTATAGCAAGAATTCCCTGTTAAATATGGTAATGAGTTTCTGTGGTTCCTTTCTTTTGAGGAATTGTTAGCCTTGTTGTAACCCATTTTGTGCTTCCTCAACTAACCAACAAGCTGATGCATGAACTTCCCTAATTATGTGCATGACCTACCAGGGTAGAGGATACACTTAATGTATTTTTGTTTGTTTGACTGTTTCAAAGTATTTGAAGTAGGTAGGCCTAATACAATGAAGAATGTGCTTTATGTAGACATGCCTAGTCTATCAACTTGCCTCTTTCAAATGAAATTGTACAAAAGTAATGATAATATCGGCCTATGCGATGTATGTTACTGTAGGCCAGCGTTTCCCAAACACCGTCTTGGGGACCCCAAGGTGTGCACGTTTTTAGTTTTTTACCCTAACAGTAAAAAAACACAGCTGATTTCAAATAATCAAAGCTTGATGATGAGTTGAATCAGCTGTGTAGTGTAAGGGCAAAAAATAACTATGTGCACACCTTGGGGTCCTCAGGACGGAGTTGCTGTAGGCTTAGTCTCATCTGGTATGTGGGAGTAGTTAGCCTGGGCATGAGACTACTGGAGACATACTAGTGCTGTCTGTGTCCACACCAGGTCCCTATCAAGAATATTGAGCGGGAGCTCATTTGTCCGATTTGCAAGGAGCTGTTTACGCACCCGCTCATCTTGCCCTGTCAGCACAGTGTTTGTCACAAGTGTGTCCGAGAGCTGTTGCTGTTGAACCATGAGGATTCCTTCGACGCTGGGTCTGAATGTTCCCTCCCTGGGAGCCCGGGACCCCGATCCAGAGTGCCCTCACCAAGCATGGAGAGGCTGGATAGGCTTGCAAGATCAGGTGCGTTTGGGTTTTGCCAGTGATCATGCCCATGTTGTGATTCTGGCAACGTCACATGCAATATGCAGTAAAGTTCTATGGACCTGTCATACCCATTTTAATCTTTCACATGTATTTGCTGAAAGTCATTCTCTGGGTTGTAGAATGAAATGGACACCACTGCCGATTCCCATCCAGTTTAAAATCATAATGTCAATGTTCATACTTTTCCTTTAGTCTTGTTAACTTAGAGACCATTTTACGTTTCTTAAACAGAATGAAGAAACACGACAAGCATTTAAGTCATCACTTTTGTTTTGTCTAGACTCTAATTCCATGTCCTTAAGGCATTCACTCCAAAAAAAACTTTAAATTATAGTTCTATTGTGTGGATATTGACTTAGTAATACCAAGCAATTTCTTAACACAGAATCCCTATCGTTTTCAGCACCTTGATAGGATGAGGCTAGAGTTATGTACAGATGGCGGAACAAAGCATGACTGTTATCCCACTAAAGCATTTTAAATGCGTGTGTGTGTGGGGGGGGGGCACTATTATTATTTGCTTTGCAAAAAAAAAGCTGAGGTCAATGTCTAAATCCAAGGTGTAAAAAGCATGGACTGAGACGAGGCAGTCTTTCACTTATCCATGAGCTGGTCCCTGCCACTCCAAAGGTCTGCATCTATTAACACAGTGGATACATTCAATGCTGTTTAGAAAACAGGGTTATAGAGCTGGTAATAATATAATCCATCCTTGGTCATTTTAAGATTCATGAACTCCATTACAATCCCGTGGGGTTAGTAACCATTGCATTTATGCAGTGGATTTAGTAAAACAAAATCTGATAATTACATTGACGAAATCTTAAAGGACATTATTTAAGGGATATTTTGGCAATGAGGCCCTTTATCTACTTCCCCAGAGTCAGATGAACTCCTGGATATCATTTTTATGTTTGTGTCCAGTATGAAGGAAGTTAGAGGTAGTTTGTGAGCCAATGCTAACTAGCGTTAGCACAATGACTGGAAGTCTATGGGTAACTGCTAACTCTAACTTCCTTCATACTGGACACTGAGACATAAAAATGGCATCCACATGTTTATCTGACTCTGGTGAAGTAGATAAAGGGCCCCATTGCCAAAATCCTGAAGTATCCCTTTAACATACCTTTCAGTAAATGTCTTAAATCTCTGACAGCATTACAGTAACTGTTTCACCCTTGCTGATTGGACGTCAGCCCAGTGGTGGTCATGGTGACGTAACCAGCCTGCATGGAATGAATGAGGGATTAAATCAACTGAAGCCCGGACTCCAATATATTTATCAGACAAGTGCTTTAAAAGCTAACAATGGTTTGTTAAACTCAATGTACCTATAGATGGTTTGAAATCTGTGAATTCACAAGTTTTGACCTAAACCTTTTAAGAGGGCAATTTCTTTTAAGCACTGTTATGTGTTGGCACTTGTCCACTGTTATTGGAAGTACATCAGGTTTGACTCCATTTCTGTTCACATACTGTATATGTTAATCTCACTTCACTTCTTTGTCCATTGCTTGCAGCCACACTGCAGAGAAGGTCGTTTGGGAGGAGAGGTAGACGCGGGTTCCATTTTTTGAATAGCTGTAGTAGTGAGTACAGTGTTACTAGACCCCCTGTGAACCCCAACTTACTGTTACTCTACTGTACGTAACCCACAGCTGACAATAGGCCACCTGTTTTTGGTAGACGTGGCATTCTGGCTTTTTAAAAAGTCTACTGAGCAAAGGCATAAATGTAAAGTATGTCCTACCAATTTGTCTACATTTGGTGTTTTGTTCCTTTTTTCTGGCCTGGTGCTTTCAGGGTTTAGTTCTCTCCATTCAGCACGTGCATGTCTTAGTAAGCAGGTTGGCGAATGAGAGCGAGCTACAGCTCTGGATGGGAATCTGAGAGGTGAGAGAAATGGGTATGGATGTTAAGGAACTGGTTTAAAGTCACATTTCTTAATGCCTGGGCAAATGTAGAGGGGTCTCCCCTCCCTGTAGCCTCTGACGCATTCAGTACCTTATGGAGGCCGGTAGATTAACTTTTAGAAGCGGCAGGGGACCTAGTTATATGTAACAAAACACAGGGGGATAGTTTTAGACATGTCAAGATTCTCTAGATCAGGGGTGTCAAACTCATTCCACGGAGGGCAGAGTGTCTGCAGGTTTTTCCTTTCAATTAAGCCCTAGACAACCAGGTGAGGGGAGTACCTTACTAATTAGTGACCCTAATTCATAAGTCAAGTACAAGGGTGGGGCGAAAACCCGCAGACACACGGCCCGCCGTGGAATGAGTTTGATACGTGCTCTAGATTATACCACTGCAACCTTCAATCATATTCCTGCTGACAGGCTTGCCCCAGGGATGCTTTTTTAGCTCTCCGGTTCAGCTGTAATTGAAAATGATTACGTTTTAGAGACTTGTGTGTTTGTAGAGATTGCTCTTGGCCACAAGCCAATGTTCTAACCAACTAATTGTTCTAGTTGTGACACACCCCTAAAGCACAATGCCAAACAAAACAATGGTCTTACTGAAACTTTAGCAGACAATTTTCTGTCATTCAGTATTTACTTATTTTTTTTATGTTGTAGTGCTCAGTAGATGTTTTAAAAAGGGTATGCCGCAAATGTCCTCCTAATGCTAGTGAAAGATTCCCTCCATTTATAAACACTTCTTCAACAACATCTCCTAACAAGTGCATCTGAACAATTCTCTAAAATGGCACCAGAATGAGTCTTACTTAATGCCGGAAACCAACTAGTTGTCCCTTTCATAGATATCAATTATGAAAGGCAACCAACAGCTTTGTATGAAAGCCATTCATCTTGACAGTATATTTTTCAGGTAGAGTTAAAAAAAGGTGTAGGGAGGATGAATTTTAGATGTATTTCTCCCAGCTTGTACAGTATTTGGCTTAGTCACATACTCTTGGCAAGATTGACTGCATCCCTTTTGTAATGCAGTCCTGGTTATGGCGATGGGGCTCTGTCGCGTTATGATGACTCAAACCGTGTTGTTAATGATGTGGTTCTGTAGGTGACCCACCCCTTTGCCCTGCTAGAATGGCCTTGCGATGACTCGTCAGTTTCTGCCCTGAGCTCTTTCTCTGCACTAGCAATCACGCTCTGAATCCCACTGTGGCAGCAGGCAGCGTCTCAGCCTGCTGCCGGACACCTCGCTGCCGCAACCCCTTCCCTCCCCGACCAGAACACCCACCCAGCCTAAGTATCTGTCCTCCTTTTAATCATCGCCTTCAGGCCAAGACACTTGGCCCCCACCTCATCGATTTCCATTCCAAGACCCTCCCTGACCTGCGTCTTCATCCAAAACACCAAGCCTGCTCACCCACTATTCCATCGTCCTCAGTCTCCCGTGATTATACACAGTCACACACACATTCCAAATGCAAACTGCATGTTTGACACGCATGCAAGCTTTGCGCCCACCACTCGTCTGTGTTCGTGCTCTGTAAAACGTTTTTTTTTTTTTCTTTGCTTGCCACTTTCCTTCGTGCGTTTCATGCTCAGTGACATGGTCCAGCTGCTTGCATCTGTCATGTGTCATGAAGGCTGTTCTCATCATATTTTCTAATAATATGCTACAGATTTGTAGTCTTTCTAGATGATAATGCTTTACAAGGCATCTGTGGTGTGAGCGAGTGTTGTGATACGTTGAACTGGACAAATGGTTTCAAAATGAATTTCCTCTGCAGGTAGTGGAAATCAATTACACTCTTACCCTTTGGTTGATTTGAGATGACATCTCTGTTCTGTTTCAGTTAGTTTTGTCAGTGGGTTTCCCACCTTTAACGTTCCACCTGATTTTGTAATCGATTTAAAAGAATTCAGATTTTATGTGAATCTTTGTGTCCAGGTCATTGTAAACACATGCTCTTCCGATCTCTTGTGTGATCCATTGTTGAGGGGCCACCCTGTAGAGAGAGCAGCCTGGGAAGGAAGGACCTGTGTTTGTTTCTGTAGGACACTGACCCTTCCCGTCAGTGTTTGTCTGCTTGTCTCTGTGCAGGCCCACCCCTAGATTAGTCCTCTAATGGTTGTTCTGTCCTATCAGGATCCATCTCCTCACCAGGATGGAGGCGTGGCTCTGTGACCCCCCGCGTCACCACTTTCCCGTGCCCAGGCTGCCAACACGACGTGGACCTGGGTGAGCGGGGCATGAGCATGCTCTTCCGGAACTTCACCCTGGAGAGCATTGTGGAGCGCTACCGGCAGGCGGCCCGCGCTGCCGTGGCGATCATGTGCAACATGTGCAAACCGCCCCAGCAGGAGGCTACCAAGAGCTGCATGGACTGCAAGGCCAGCTACTGCAACGAGTGCTTCAAGTTCCACCACCCATGGGGCACCCCCAAAGCCCAGCACGAGTATGTGGGGCCCACCATGAACTTTAGGCCCAAGGTAGATACCATTGTCCACCTCGGAGGGGTTTTCATTGTTTATCGTGACTAGGTTTCGTTGCTGTTGATTTTAGATTAGTGACTGGTTGTACAGTTGCCCATTCAGAGCTAATGAATTACGAGTCAATGGAAGGAATACATTTCCTCCAGTATTAACAGACTTATTCCCCAGGCCGTTTTGCGCATTTGTGGTGTGGCGGGTTTGCGATCTGAAAATGGGCACTAATCCAATGTGTTGCTTATGTCCGTCCAGGTGCTGATGTGTCCGGAGCACGAGATGGAGAAGGTGAACATGTACTGCGAGGTTTGCCGCCGTCCAGTCTGTCATTTGTGCAAGCTGGGAGGCTCCCACGCCAACCACAAAGTCACATCAATGAGCAGCGCCTACAAGATCCTCAAGGTACCGTATAACTAACCATTGTCTCGAACCGTTCACTTGACCTGACTTGAAAGTAATCAGGGGTCTATACTCTAGGAACCTAACAGGCCGAAAGGGGAGGGACCTACCTGAATTTATCCAATAAGAAAGTCTTGTTTTCTTTGCAAAATGTTTTCTGTCGCAAGTATTTTTGCTACGGTGTTCACTAATGAATACAACCCTAGGGGAAAAAGTGTTAGTTTTGAAGTGGTTGTCTGCCCAACTGGTCAGTGAAGCAGTGATGTTTGCATACTATTTTACCCACTTTATATACTACATGGCCAAAAGTATGTGGACACCTGATCGTCGAACATCTCCTTCCAAAATGATGGTATTAATATGGAGTTGGTCCCCCCCCCTCCCCCTTTGCTGCAATAACAGCCTTCACTCTTCTGGGAAGGCTTTCCACTAGAACGTTGTTGTAGGGCAATTAGGCCTGGCTCGCAGTTGGCATTCAAATTCGTTCCCCAAAGGTGTTCGATGGGGTTGAGGTCAGGGCTCTGTGCAGGCCAGTCAAGTTCTTTCACACCGATCTCGACAAACCATTTCTGTATGGACCTCGCTTTGTGCACGGGGGCATTGTCATGCTGAAACAGGAAAGGGCCTTCCCCAAACCGTTGCCACAAAGTTGGAAGCACAGAATGGTCAAGCATGTCATTGTATACTCTAGCGTTCAGATTTCCCTTCATTGGAACTAAGGGGCCTAGCCCGAACCATGAGAAACAGCCCAAGACCATTATTCCTCCTCCACCAAACTTTACAATTGGCACTGCATTCGGGCAGGTTCTCCTGGCATGCGCCAAACCCAGATTCGTCCGTCGGACTGCCAGATGTTGAAGTGTGATTCTTCACTCCAGAGAACGCGTTTCCACTGCTCCAGAGTCCAATGGCGGCGAGCTTTACACCTCTCCAGCCGCCGCTTTGCATTGCGCTTGGTGATCCGTTTTCATGAAGCTCCCAACGAACAGTTCTTGTGCTGACGTTGCTTCCAGAGGCAGTTTGGAACTCTGTAGTGAGTGTTGGAACCGAGGACAGATCTTTACTTGTTTTAGCACTCGCCGGTCCCGTTCTGTGAGCTTGTGTGGCCTACCACTTCGCAGCTCAGCAGTTGTTGCTCCTAGACGTTTCCGCTTCACAATAACCACTTACAGTTGACCGGGGCAGCTCTAACAAGGCAGACATTTTACGAACTGACTTGTTGGACTGCTGGCATCCTATGACGGTGCCACGTTGAAAGTCACAGAGCTCTTCAGGACAGGCCATTCTACTGCCAATGTTTGTCTATGGAGATTGCATGGCGGTGTGCTCGATTTTATACACCTGTCAGCAACGGGTGTGGCTGAAATAGCCAAATTTGAAGGGGTGTCATACTTTTGGTGTATGTATATACTTTATTCTTGGCTCATCCTATATAACTACTGCTGTACACACCTTTTCTATTCACATATTGTCTGCACACCATTCACATGCCCGGACTCTGGCCCGGAAGCTAATTTCCTGCAGTTCTATCAATTTTGCCATGGGATTTTTGTACTGTGTATTTAAACACTGTTTTATCGACATAGCTCATGCTAATATATCTACTGCTGTACATAGCATTCTTAGTATACAGTATCTTGTGTAACTCCATCTGAGTGTGTATATACAGTGAGGGAAACAAGTATGATCCCCTGCTGATTTTGTATGTTTGCCCACTGACAAAGAAATGATCAGTCTATAATTTTAATGGTAGGGTTATTTGAACAGTGAGACAGAATAACAACAAATAAATCCAGAAAAACGCATGTCAAAAATGTTATAAATTGATTTGCATTTTAATGAGGGAAAAAAGTATTTGACCCCTTCTCAATCAGAAAGATTTCTGGCTCCCAGGTGTCTTTTTATACAAGTAACGAGCTGAGATTAGGAGCACACTCTTAAAGGGAGTGCTCCTAATCTCAGCTTGTTACCTGTATAAAAGACACCTGTCCACAGAAGCAATCAATCAATCAGATTCCAAACTCTCCACCATGGCCAAGACCAAAGAGCTCTCCAATGATGTCAGGGACAAGATTGTAGACCTACACAAGGCTGGAATGGGCTACAAGACCATCGCCAAGCAGCTTGGTGAGAAGGTGACAACAGTTGGTGCGATTATTCTCAAATGGAAGGAACACAAAAGAACTGTCAATCTCCCTCTGCCTGGGGCTCCATGCAAGATCTCACCTCGTGGAGTTGCAATGATCATGAGAACGGTGAGGAATCAGCCCAGAACTACACGGGAGGATCTTGTCAATGATCTCAAGGCAGCTGGGACCATAGTCACCAAGAAAACAATTGGTAACACACTACGCCGTGAAGGACTGAAATCCTGCAGCGCCCGCAAGGTCCCCCTGCTCAAGAAAGCACATATACAGGCCCGTCTGAAGTTTGCCAATGAACATCTGAATGATTCAGAGGAGAACTGGGTGAAAATGTTGTGGTCAGATGAGACAAATCGAGCTCTTTGGCATCAACTCAACTCGCCGTGTTTGGAGGAGGAGGAATGCTGCCTATGACCCCAAGAACACCATCCCCACCGTCAAACATGGAGGTGGAAACATTATGCTTTGGGGGTGTTTTTCTGCTAAGGGGACAGGACAACTTCACCGCATCAAAGGGACGATGGACGGGGCCATGTACCGTCAAATCTTGGTGAGAACCTCCTTCCTTCAGCCAGGGCATTGAAAATGGGTCGTGGATGGGTGGCGCAGAGGTCTAAGGCACTGCATCGCAGTGCTAACTGTGCCACTAGAGATCCTGGTTCGAATCCAGGCTCTGTCGCAGCCGGCCGCGACCGGGAGACTCATGGGTGGCGCACAATTGGCCCAGCGTCGTCCAGGGTAGGGGAGGGAATGGCCGGCAGGGCTGTAGCTCAGTTGATAGAGCATGGCGTTTGCAACGCCAGGGTTGTGGGTTCGATTCCCACGGGGGGCCAGTATAAAAAAAAAAAAAAAAAAAGATGTATTCACTAACTGGAAGTCGCTCTGGATAAGAGCGTCTGCTAAATGACTAAAATGTAAATGTATTCCAGCATGAAAATGACCCAAAACATACAGCCAAGGCAACAAAGGAGTGGCTCAAGAAGAAGCACATTAAGGTCCTGGAGTGGCCTAGCCAGTCTCCAGACCTTAATCCCATAGAAAATCTGTGGAGGGAGCTGAAGGTTCGAGTTGCCAAACGTGAGCCTCGAAACCTTAATGACTTGGAGAAGATCTGCAAAGAGGAGTGGGACAAAATCCCTCCTGAGATGTGTGAAACCTGTTGGCGAACTACAAGAAACGTCTGACCTCTGATTGCCAACAAGGGTTTTGCCACCAAGTACTAAGTCATGTTTTGCAGAGGGGTCATACTTATTTCCCTCATTAAAATGCAAATAAATGTATAACATTTTTGACATGTGTTTTTCGGATTTTGTTGTTATTCTGTCTCTCACTGTTCAAATAAACCTACCATTAAAATTATAGACTGATCATGTTTTTGTCAGTGGGCATACGTACAAAATCAGCAGGGGATCAAATACTTTTTTGCCTCACTGTACGTATAGATTGCATTTGGATTACTGTTAGTGCTATTTGGATTGTTAATTGCATTACTTTAACATTTTACTGCATTTTTAGGAGCTATTCACTTAAGCATTTTGCTGCACTAGCTATAAAATTTGAACTATGTACACAACCAATAAACTTTGATTTTGAGCCCCCTAATGAAATATTTATCAGTGATTTGTACCTGTGCTGAATGGCATGTGTCCACAGTATCAGTTTATCTTTGAGCAGTGTAATCCACGTGTGCGGTCATCAACAAGCAAACCTTGTCTCTCTCCCCCCCCAGACTAGACAGAGGTCAATCAGCCACTGAAAGCAGAGGGAAAGAGGACTCTGTCCTTTTGACTGTAATCTTAGAGGCCTATGGACTCATTCATATTTAATGTAATCATTTGTATCTTATGATTATCTATCTATTGAACATCTCTGGTGGCGGTCTCTCGGCTGGCCGTACTGTATGCAGAGGCATATTAGGTGTTTTGTTCTACTGAACAACCGGAATCTTCCGGGATGAGGTAGGATTTCCAATGCGGTTTCTCAATGCGCTCAAATGTTATTATACCAACAGGAGAAGCTATCAAAGAGTATCCATTACTTAATCAGCAAAGAGGACCAAGTGAGGACTCAGATTTCCCACATGGAGGTGTTGATCAATGAAACTGAGGCAAGTAGCTGTTGACGGAATAAAACTAGTCCTGTGTTGTCTGTGACTGTTTACATGACTATTTGTGTCTTATGTTAAATAACAAAGGGACATTCTGTCTGCACTGAGAAGGAAGGTCACATATTCAAATACATGTAAATGCATACTAATTTCACTGCAGAAGAGTTTGCCTAGTCTGACCTTGTCTGTACTGTATTATGATGGCTTTCTCTTTCGTTTACATTTGTAATAGTACATCTATGCTAGCCTGGTCTCAGATCTGTTTGTGCCATCATTCCTGCTTTTTGTCATGCCAAACTCCTTGTGGCATGATGGCACAAACAGACTGGGCCATAGGCTACTTCTATGCAGTTGTATTGCACCATGATGCGTTGACACCCCTCTCTACTTCTACAGGAGAATGGCCAGGTGGCGGAGTGTCGGGCCAACGAGCACTTTGAGCGGCTGTTCCAGACCCTCCAGGAGAGGAAGTCTGAGATGCTGAACTCCATTGCGCAGTCGAGGACGCGGCGTCTGGAGCAGCTCCGGGGCCAGGTGGAAGAGTACCAGGGCATGCTGGAGAATAGCGGCCTGGTGGGCTACGCCCAGGAGGTCCTCAAGGAGACAGACCAGTCCTGCTTCGTTCAGACGGCCAAGCAGCTGCACACCAGGTCAGCTTCCGCTCCAGGGACAAGTTTCCCCTAGGTGCAGCTTCCCCTCCCCCAATCATAACCTTAACCAGTAGTGGGGAAATGCTAATCTGACCTAAGATCAGCTTCTAGGGCAACTTCACCCTCCAGCCGCCAGCCCTGACTGCCTGCCACTCCCAACACATTAGTATATGAAGGCAGTTTATAGACTGGTTCCCAAAGGATTCCATCAGTGGCGATAAATGCTATTGGCTAATTGTTATTTAATATCACCATTCTTTAAGAAAGGTCAGTAATCGAAAGGCCTCCATTCATAAAGCACAAAGGGTCCATTTTTAAACTCTGTATTACAGGCCAAAACACAATTTCCCTGTGGCTGCTCTTGTCCTCTAGGTTTCCTAATGGGGATTTGGGTGCTGTTATTTTAGTACTGGAGGAATCAATCTGCTTATATGGGTGGGTTGAGTGTGTCAAAGATCCATGACACCAAGTTTCGTTTCCCATGGACACTCTGGGAGAGATTGGAATGGCAAAGTGCTGTTTACATTCTCCATGTCCCGCTCTAATCCTGCTAATTGATCTCAACTAAAAAAAATAAAAAAAAAGCAGCTTTGGGACTTTATTCACCGAACGCTTTTAGTTTTATGAACACTGCTACATTCACCCACCCACACACGTCTCCCTCCCATGCTCATTTATCTGGCCTGGGAAATGGTTCCCGCTCTGATAGTGGTCTCCTTGCTAGCATGTAGTGGACACTACAAAGTGAATGGCTGCCATTTTGTGTCCTCTCTCTTTCTCTCTCTAGGATCGCGAAATCCACAGAGTCTCTAAGGACGTTCCACCCCGCGGCCAACCCCTCCTTTGATGAGTTTGTGCTAGACACTTCCAGAGAGGAGACTCTGCTGAAGGAGCTGTGTTTTGGGGGAGGTGAGTCCCCCCCCCCCCCAGTATGAAGTACAGTATTTAATGATGTATGAGGACATCGCAATGAAAGCCTAAAGTTGAACCCTAATTCAATTTGTTGACACTCCTCATCGGTTCCCCTCTAAGTCACCTCCGCCTCAACCAGTCAGTCACTTTCACCTCCTCCTGGGCTCTGCTCTCTGTTAAGACACTGGTAACCAGAAGCCCTTTTAATTGAATAAGCTGGTTACGCGCCTGATATACACACAGAGAGCATTGCAGGGCTTTTTCTGGTCCGCTGCTTTGCATAGACTCTCATCCCCATGTCTGGATGTAAAGAGAAGGGAACTGTGCGGCAGGCTGGATATAATTGTGTTCCTGTGAAAAGGAACTGATTTGACATGCGCATATCAAGTAGGGGCAGTGCAACCCAGGAAGTAAACTGGAGGCTACTTATAAGCTCTAATCTAACTGTCTGTCCTTAGAATGAGCTCCAACCCTGCTCCCTCTGTCCCACAGGTGTTACTGTTTGTATTGAATGGGCTTGTGGGCTCATCGCGCTATAACGATTACTGACCACAAAGGGCCATGCTTGGTCTCCCCGTAGTGAGCCTGGAAGGGTCGCCTGCGTTTGTTAGCGACAGTTGGTTGGCAGCGCCGGGGCCAGGCTGTCCTTAAGGACAGGGGTCAGGCCTATAGGAGAGGGCTACATGGGGCAGAGCAGCACAACATGGCTTTCTCCTCATTAAACTAGACTAGACAGAGGACCGAACAGCTCCAACCCAGGACCAGGATCACGTTAGGGTCTTGTTCACTAGGCACCAAATGGAAGGAAACAGAATGGGAGTGCCTATGGGGTCTGGGGGGATGGGACAGTGACCCCCCCATCACCCCAAGAGGCCATGTGTAATTTCATCCCCAGTGCTCATCAAGCAGATCTCATTACAATGCCATTCTGCAGTCTTCTATGCTCACACTGGCTCCATATTTTGTATGTATCTCTGCCACTAGTTGAACCGTAAAGGCATCGTGTTGTGTTCTCCCCCTTCCTAATCCAGCCCCTCCAGAGTCTGCAGTCTGGTCTCACAGCCAGTGAGAAAGAAGGAGACGCCTTTGTTGTTTGGTGTAATGCCTCTCCTGTCCCGTCCCGGCCGTAGCCTGATCAATAGGCTGTTTCTCTGAGAATAGCGGAGCTCTCAGGCTGGTAGCCCGCTGGCTTGGCAGGCCGCCCAGTCCCCCCCCTCAGCCCTGATCCGAACCTGCTGGACCTGGCTGCTGCTGTTGGTAACTGGAAGCTCTGTCCGCAGTGAGGGAGGGGGGAGAAGGATTTGCAAAGTGCTTTTCCTGGCAATGTCTGTGCATAAATTAGATGTATTCCTTTTTTCTTTTTTTTTGCTTCTCACTCTTCCTGTCCATATTCTGACTGTCTGCTCTGAGTTCAGTCTCATCTCGGAAGGACTCCATGCACTTACATAAACCAATGTGTTGAACACTGATCACATGGTTAAATCATGTTTAGGGTACATATCCTATCTGTTTATGTTTTTATATTTCCAGATAACCAATACCATTTAAAATAAGGTTTAGTATGGGCCGTTGTCGCACCGTCAAGGCTTACTTGTCCAAGGCTGGCTTGCTTATGTTAGTTTGTCGATTTAGAGATTGTAACTGTAGCTCAGTTGGTAGAGCGTGGCGCTTGCAACGCCAGGGTTGTGGGTTTGATTCCCATGGGGGGCCAGTATGAAAAATGTATGCACTCACTAAAACTGTAAGTCGCTCTGGATAAGAGCGTCTGCTAAATGACAAAAAATTTAAAATGTAATCAGAGGCCACGCCCACCTTGACCAGGTACCTTTTTTCTCCGCTCTCTCAGTCCCTGAGCCTCCCATCATCGATCTGTCCCGTAGTCGCGTCTACAACGAGGGCCGGTTGTGCTGGCAGCTGGCCGAGGACACCTTGGCCACAGACCACCATGTCCTTGAGTACAGGAGGCTGGGCACCGAGCAGGATGAGGAGGAGGGCGCCAGCCGCTGGTGCCTCACAGACCGGGTGTATGGCCCCAGCACAGTGGTGTGTGACCTGGAGGCCGACAGCCTCTACTCTTTCAGAGTCCGCAGCTGCCGCAACTCCCTCTACAGCCCCTACAGCCCAGAGGTCACCTTCCACACACCACCTGCCCCAGGTAGGCACCAGGCACTGATGAGGTCACACACCCGCACTGAGGATGATGTTGTATTCATGTGATGGGGAGGGAGAGAGGTGGGCCTGGGCCCTATTCCAAAACACAGCACTACTGGAATAGCAACTCGAAACAAACAAAAAAATGCTCGGCAATCATGTAACAATGCTTCAATGCCATTTCTGTGTTGCAGGAACTGGGAAGAACTAGTATACTGGTCTCAATGGCCAGCGTGGGTCTACTAGGCTGTGAAAGCGGCCCTGAATGTTGATCTGGATGCTAATTATCCTAATTACCAAGAAAGGAGTCTTATGTTCTCTTACGCCGGCACCCCGCCTGTGTTGGGCTTCAGGGCTGAAGTTGAGCTCTTTAAAAAATAAAAATAAATAATCCTCTTCTACCAAGTCTGTCTGGGTATTTAGCAGCCCGATCCACGGAACATTACAAACGGACCGATGCTCGACTGTTCAAAAGTGAACTGTGGGATAAAATACAGTGGACAGTTATGAAACCTCTGTGCGACTTCTTTAATGTATCACTTCTGCAACCCATCTCCTTTGTTGGATTGCAGAAATCCCAGCCTTTTGAATGCTTTGTTTCTTTTAGACTGACTGAAGCATTGCAATGCAGCAGAGGCCCGGAGTAACAGTACATCTGCTTACGTCTTTCGAAGTGTTTTTCAGCCTCTGATGGTTTAACAATCATATGCCATCTGTAAAGCACTAGATATCACTCAAGTCTATTGAATTGGACAGTCCCCACCCTCTTGTCCTAACCTCCATGCGCATGTACAATTGCTGATCCATTTGGATTTCGTTGTTGATCCTCCCTTGCCTCATTAGTCTGCAGTAAACCAGGGCTGGGGTGCTGAGAGCTGGAGCCCACTGTGGATTGAAGCCCAGTGATAGGACTGGGAGCCCACATTCCTGTGTCCTGACTGTGGGGATGTCGCAGTGCGTTAGTAATGAGGTGGAATTCTGGGTCAATGCTGGCTAGACCAGACAGTACAGTAGCTACATCACGCCTCCTATCACAAGTCAGTGTTGGCATACTGCATAGACTTATCAGTACTGGAGGACAATATATTTGTCCATTTTATTTTATGAAGCTCATCTTTTTAAGATGACTCAATTTAAATTAAGTTTGTGCAGTTCATACAACAAAGGATAAAGGGGTAAACGACTAGTATTTTTGCCCTCGTTTTTTGCGGGAATGAATAATATGAATTAAAAGTATCTCTAGTACCATGAGACAAAATGCAATGACTCAATGCACAGGCATAACTATATTAGTGGGTAAGTTAATAGTAATTATGGCCTTTGGTGTTGTAACTATTTTTTTTAGACTTTTTAATCTGCAGCAGATGCGACTTAGAAAATTATTTAAAATAACCTTAAATGAGAAATGAAGCATTGTTTTGTCTTTCTATACATGTCAATTGATAATTTTGGATGTTCTGTCAATTCCTTCACTTGTTGACGGTCTTTACAATGGCGCCCTCATGTGACACTTTATGAAAGCCCACCTTCTCCGTGACATCCTGAGATGAGGAAACAGGAAATCCTATCAGCGTCTGACTGTTCCTTTTGTATTGTTGCTCTCTTCCTGTAGCGTTTGGCTTCCTATTCAACGACAAGTGCGGCTTCAGCTCGGAGCGGCTGGCGTTGAGCAAGCGCCGTGACTCTGTGGAGAGCGTGGCCGGCATGGCCTTCCTGCTGGCTGCTGAGCGTGTGCAGACGGGCAGCTACATGGGCCTGGATTACATCATCGGTGACATGGGCATCTCTCAGGGCAGACACTACTGGGCCTTCAGCGTGGAGCCCCACTCCTACCTGGTCAAGGTGGGCGTGGCCTCTGATTCCAAGCTGCTGGAGTGGTTCCACAACCCCCGAGACACTAGTAGCCCCAGGTAAACTCCGCCTCTGAATCACTCACTTAGGATCAGGACTGAGTCACAAAGAAGCCTGTGACGTAAGAAGCATTAACTTGTAAACTAGGGGTGTCAAACTCATTCCATAGAGGGCCTAGTGTTTGCTGGTTTTTCTTTTCATATATATATATATATATATATGTATGTATGTATGTATGTATGTATGTATGTGTATGCCCTTGACAACCAGGTGAGTTCCTTACTAATTAGTGACCTTAATTCATCAATCAAGTACAAGGGAAGAGTGAAAACCCACACACTCGGCCCTCCGTGTGGAATGAGTTTGACACGTGGTGTAGAGTGTTAATTCACAGAAAAGGCCTTAGTTTCTCAACAATTCTTTTCAAATATTTATAACATTTTTGACATGCGTTTTTCTGGATTTTTTTGTTGTTATTCAGTCTCGCACTGTTCAAATAAACCTACCATTAAAATTATAGACTAATCATGTCTTTGTCAGTGGGCAAATGTACAAAATCAGCAGGGGATCAAATACTTTTTTCCCTCACTGTACCTACTGTGTGGGTTTACTGTGCTGTATATTTACATTTACATTTTAGTCATTTAGCAGACGCTCTTATCCAGAGCGACTTACAGGAGCAATTAGGGTTAAGTGCCTTGCTCAAGGGCACATTTACGTCATTTAGCAGACGCTCTTATCCAGAGCGACTACAAATTGGTGCATTCACCCTATAGCCAGTGGGATAACCACTTTACAATTATACCTTTTTTTTTTTCTTTTTTTTTTATATATTTTTTTTTCTTTGAACAGGCTTCCAGGTAACAGTGAGGAAACATTCAGTGGGGGGGCAGGTAGCTTAGTGGTTAAGAGCGTTGTGCCAGTAACTGAAAGGTCGCTGGTTCTAATCCCCAAGCCGACTAGGTGAAAAATCTGTCTGTGCCCTTGAGCAAGGCACTTAACCCTAATTGCTTCTGTAAGTCGCTCTGGATAAGAGCGTCTGCTAAATGACTAAAATGTAAATGTCAGTATTATTGAATGGGCCGTAGTTGTAGGCTAACTCTGTTGCCTGTCTCCCACCTCCAGGTACGACCACGACAGTGGGCACGACAGTGGCAGCGAGGACACTTGCTATGATCTGTCCCAGCCATTCACTCTGCTCACTGTGGGCATGGGCAAAGTGTTCCTCCCCAAAGCGTCCATCTCTTCCGCCGGCGACCACAGCAACCGGGTGCTGCCCATGCCCCAGCGCATCGGCGTGTGCCTGGACTACGAGGCGGGCCGGGTCTTCTTCTACGATGCAGACACCATGAGGTGCCTTTACGAGCGGCAGGTGGACTGCTCTGGTACCATGTACCCTGCCTTTGGCCTCATGGGTAGTGGCAAGGTCCATCTAGAGGAGTTCATCACGTCAAAGCGACTGTCGTATATGTGATATGTTGGGCCTTCCACACACAAGTCTCTCCTGCTCAACACTTGCCTTTGAGTTCATGTTGGTTTCTGCTTTCTGTCAGGTATGTTGTGTAGTGATGTTGTTGTGTGTATTGTTGATTATGCCATTTCTTTGTTTTTAATGAACACATATTTATGTAGCACCACTGAGTCCAGTAAAACATAGCCAAGAGAAACCTGAAGAGCCTTGCAGCTACTGCTACGCCTCTGTGCCTTTCACAATAAATAGGTCATCTAAAAAATGCAATAATTTGTCTAATAACTGTGCACAACAGCATGGCTAGTCATCACTGACAAGGGTGAGTCTATGTAGGTCACAAGGACCCCTCGGTTGAAAAACATCCCTACCAAAAATGTATAATACAAAACATACCTAATCAATGTCCTTTGGCAAGAGTCCATCAACACCAGTTTGTTGCACTGCATTTGATTTGGACACATGCTCACAAAAATGTGCACATAAAAAAAATAAGACAAGCACACCTTGCACTTAATCTCACTACCTAATCACTCTGAGCACTACTTCAATGCAGAACACATTTATCTGAATCGTAACACTAGACATTCACATTCAGGGTGTAATTCTAACTTGAGATCCGCGTGCGCTTGCACAGAAATATGAGTTGTCGTGGATATTAGTTGATCACCAAATTATCACGTTAATTAATTTACCTCACACTGCTGTCTCGGATGCAGTTGTTCAACAGCAGTGAATGTTTTCTGTTTAGCGCCGGGAATGTGAAACTTCAGTAACACTACAGGTTCTCACTACACAAACTGTCCCACGGAACTCTACTACGATGCGGCATCTTTCCTGAAACACGTCATGTTAGTGTACAGAACTTAGACATTTGATACGCACATTGTCGATTGGCTCTCGAGGATCAGCTAGGACAACACAAGGTTTCAGGGCACACCACGGGTCTGTTCAGGCGTGTGCAGCGTTTCAGAACCTTCAGATTTAGAAATGTATTATGCTCTGTCCTCTAGAAAAGGGAGTAATTTTGTTTCTATACATTTTTACTTTTATCTCATTCTGAATGGTTACCCCTGCTGAACACACCCCCGGTCACCTCTGGCTTCCTTACATGGGTTTCTGGACAATATCTGTACATATGTTTTGTTTTGTTGAGGGTAAGGATAATCTGTGTTTTTCTCAGGTTTGTGGCTTATGGGCCTTGTGCTACTGGCCTATCAGCCCTGGAAAACGATACCTTTCTCCTCTACAGGATTTCACTTTTCTTTGCAGCTTCCATAAATACATGAGTAATTTACTGTACCCTAATCTCAGCCTTTAAGATTGTTCATATCCAATAATAAGCTGAAATTAACCTTTTTTTAAAATTTTTACCTCAATGTACATATCTAGTGACATTTTATTTTTGGGGTGAAATAAGTTGTAGATCTGCAATTTGTTTTATTCTATGAGTTTATGTGCTGTGAAGTTTCTCAAAGCCTAATCAAAGTTAAGCGATTTGGGCAATTGGTGGAAAATTGTCATTGGAACTAGATCATGTCTGACTGAATTTGTGAAGGGAGCATTTTAAATCTACACCTCTTGTGTGTTGTGATGTGTTTAGGTCCATTTGAGTGTTTCGTATCCTAGAATTTGTTGCGTTTTAATTGTTTTCCTTATCTGAATCATGTAAGGTAATTTTGATGGATAACAATCTGTAGTCTTAACTTAATTCCTAGCTGCTTCAGAATTGGTGCGCATAATTCTCTACCATTCCTTTTTAGGACACAACAACACTTCTACCTGTTCCTTTTTTAAATGACTGTTGAAACACCTTTTAAAGTCTATGCACTTAATTAACAGGTTTGGGATTGTGTTTATCACAGAATGTATTATTTACAGAACAAACTGAATGTCTCGTAGGTGTTTGCTTATCTTGGGTCAAGTCGCTGGTGGCTGCAGCAGTTGTCTTTCACGGTAGATGTTTGCTATAGTGCTCGTCTTATTCTAGCTACATATCACTGCTGATTTTAGAAAAGGGAATCCTATGGCTTTCAGTAGTAAGTTAAACCAAATATTCTGCAGACACTCAGTCTAATGGTTCAAGCTAGCACTTTAAACTGTAGCATGTATGCCTCTGCTGTGCAGGTCTGTATAAATTGTGGCGCAATCTTACGTAGACTGCTGGAAGTAGACCTGTTGTATTCTCCTATTGTAAGTAATGGGATATGTGACGTTTGCTTTCTGTGAGTAATGCTTTGATGTACATTAAGCGTTGTCTGTAATCAGATTCTTGAAATACTACGCTTTTTTTTATTTGCTGTTTGGGGATTTATATGAAATAAAAGTGTTTTAAACCAAGTGTGTGTGTGTGTGTGTGGGTAATTGTATTCACTTTGAGTAAGGTTTTTCAAATGGTAAATGTTTATAATCCGTCATCATCCTCCTGGGAAATTTGTGTTATAGAAATGGAGCATTCAGAGACTGAAGCGCAAGGAAACTGGAAAATGTATGAAATGCACACATACTGACCCCTCCTAATGGCTACCTTTTCTCCCTCTCCTCTCTCCTGATCCACCCATCCTCATTAGACAGCATGTGACGCTACTGCCTCTGCAGATAAAGTAATAGTATCTACCCTTCCTAAAGAGTTACAGTTCATCTACACAATTACTTCAGAGGCAAAACATTCCTGCAGCAATTGTGTAGGTTTGATGAAATCCTGAAGGGGGAAAAGTTGATTTGGACTCCTGCAGGAATTGTCCTTATTGTACAGGAATTTTTTTAAGATCCTGCACATCAGGTAAATGTTCCTGCAGAACATGCTATTCCAACCGGGTCAGCTAAATTCTTGCAGGAGTCCTGTAGGGGCAGAACCTGCAGGATTTGTGTTACTCCTGCAGAACATGCTATTTCTACAGGAAAGTGACAATGAAAATCCTGTGGGGTTTTCTTACAGGAACAAATATCCTACATGATTCCTGCAGGATTTTTTCCTGTACAAATATTCCTGTAGGTCTATTTAGTTTTTTTGGTGCTATTTTGTGCAAATTGAGATGTTACATGTCTAACAGTGTTTGAGTAGTGTTGTAGCTGTAATCGGTACCAGAAGGCTGCAGCAGAGGACCCATTTCCTCAGACTGCAGGAGAAGGCATTAACCCTTCATCCCTATAAGGCAAGGGTCGCCTTGGTGAGGGGGCCTGATGTTGAAAAACCCAAAACACCCAATGACCCCAGGTTACATCACTGATGTGTCCAAGAGCATTTTGAGCTGTATTTATCCAATCAATGAGGATATAGATTATATTAACAACAACAAAAAATCTATATACTAAAGAAAAAAGTATGCAATCATACAGAATGTGTTCTATAAAGATGCTCTTTTATCATTTGGTTTCCTGACTGGGCTACAGGGTGACTGAAAGGCGGCACACCTGCAATTATGATACTAATTAAGAAAATATGGTATAAATAGTGAAATATTATGGACACTTTGATAATTAATTTCGCCATAACTCACTGTTTAACTGTTCTATATTCTTGCATTTTGATGCATTCTCAAGAGCAAATTCACTATGACAAAGAAATACTGCATTTTTTACAATTATATAAATTTTGTTAGTGGCCATACTGTTGTTTGATAATGAGCCCAGCATAATCCATAGCTCAATGGCATGATCAGCAATTGAACCAGAAGCATCACCAGTTTCATGAGTGTGCTGCTCAGTCTTCAGGAAAGGAGGTGTGAGGTGCACGTCACGCACTCTCGTGGTCTGTGTAATACGGAAGAGAGGATGTGAGCGATTCCACGTCATTGAGGTGCATTTGTGCGATAGATTATTTTGTATAGTTTTTGCTATTTCTGTAAAATTTCCATGTGGTAGCACATTAGAGGTTTAATTATATTCAGACGAGCTTCGTCTGCCACTGGAAGGAGCGGCCTAGACATTGGAATTCAGCTGAAGGTAAAACATTCGCTAACGTTAGCTAGTTAAGTTAGCCGCGGCTTTTTCGCCGGGGCAGGAGCGCTCACACGTACCTCGCTTGTCAACTAAAAACAGCGCGGTGATAACTAGATTTGAGTCGTCGTCTGTAACTTTAGTATCATGGCAGTATTTGCTCTGAATTACTTGCCCGGACCATGGGTCCTCACCATGAATAACATTGAGATTATGGTTGGACATTGGCACGTACAGCTTCGACACGGTTTGACAGATCGAGCTGCCATCCCTGCGTGCAGAGATTGAAGCTAGCTAGCTAGCGACAATTTAATACCTGAAGTTAATCAATATTTACATCTAGTTAGTTATCAATATACCCAGATTATTACATTATAGTTACCTAGTTACTACCTAGTTATTACCTAGTTACTGCATTGCATTCAACTGAAGACCGAACTAGTCTTGTTAGGATAGGATAAGATGAAGTGTGATGTATCTATATATGTCTTGAATTGAAATCGGTAAAAAGTATTGTCTTTGGAGTCATATAGCAGCCAATGGTTAATGTGCTTAGTGAGATGACGCATATCTAGGTAATTCATTACATGAAGCCAATAGCAGTTCCAGTACAGTATCTGGTTGAGTTTTTGTTGTTGTTACATTGTAAGCTGTTGTCATTCAGGAAACACCCATCAGTCACATTCTTTTACACACCTTGTTTCTTCCATTAATATTAAAAGGGGGGAGAATTATGTAGGCGAAGGTCTGTGAATAATGAGACTGTGGGACTTACATAACTTGACTAGTTGAACACAGGCAATAGTAGCAGCATCTCAAGCCATCTTAATTAAACTTTTTTTAACTAGGCAAGTCAGTTAAGAACAAATTCTTACTTACAATGACAGCCTACACCGGCCAAACCCAGACGACGCCGCCCTATAGGCCGGTTGTGATACAGCCTGGAATCGAACCAGGGGTAGTGACGCCTCAAGCACTGAGATGCAGTGCCTTAGACCACTGCGCCACTCGGGAGCCCCCAAAAAAGGCACATTGCCTGGATACAGACTTGGTCTAAATGAAATGAC